GCTCCTATGCGTGGGCTTGTGGATCTCTATACATACATTTACGTACACTATTTAGTCGCCCTTAAATCCCTTCTCTGCAAAAGGTGACTGCGAACCCCGGGCCATTATATGAAGGTGTGGATCGAAGAGGGACTCTTGTTGTACAACAGGGACAAAGCAACTCGTAGACGAACGAACTAATGTATTATAAGTTCACTCAGTACAAGGAAGATACCCCAAAACCAAGCAATGCGCTGTTGGTAAGCAACGAGTCGCAAATACTACAGAAGACTGCAGTTGGTGCGCTTTTCCGGCCTATCTGCCTCAGGATCGTTCTCTGAGGTTACAAGCTGGTCTACGTGTAGGCGCGTCATAGAGACTCAACAGTGCACACTAACCCCAGATCCCTATTTGCAAAGGGCCTCTAGTGGCTTCAGTGTAGCTTCCAGACGTGGGTCACGGAATAGCTGCACGACCTCCTGAGCTGCAAAACACCTGGTGCACGGGATGAATTTGGCATAAGTGCTGAGTCTCTTAGCAACGACGATATTTTCCTAATTGTTGACCTGAAACTGTCCAAGATTATTTGGGGAATCAGTCCTAATTCCTTTACGATCGGAGAGCCGCGCAAAAGCGAGTGATTTCCGGTTTGAACAGTTGGCAATCTGGACATCGCGGTACATACGCCCCCACGGCCGGGCACATCTCAAGCCGACAGTTGTACTTTGAGAGCTTCCTTACTGTAATTCGAATGTGAATATGGCCGAAAAGTACATGATTATGTGCTTTGAGCAAACCAGCACTGTGGAGTGAAGGCAAAGTGTACAGACAGAGTTCTTGTCTGAGGTAAACCAAAGTAGGTCATCGTCAATATGGTTTGCTTTGCCCCTTGCCATTCTGGATTTTGGCCCCAGTATCACACGCGTGGGAATCAGCAGCACAACATGCGCACAATTTCAAGAGATTTAGTAGTCACTACGGACGTGGCTGGTTGCGTTGTACAACAGGGAGTTGCTGGTGCGTCCCGAGCGCATCGGCCCCTCGTTGGTGATAACCCAATTATACTACGCTGTAGAAATGCTCTGTGTGAGGCGCCAAAGCCAGTGAACGAGTTTAAAAGTATCAGAGTTCTGGCCATTGTTTGTAGGGTACAATCAGGACTGACTGGCGGTCTGGGCAGAGACATGATGCCCATATAAGTATTTCCAAGAATTTTCACGCCCTCTTCCACAGCAGGGAGTTGCGTTTCGCGTACTGGCTAGCGCTGCACGGTTTCGATAAAGCAGTCCATGGTGGTTTTGGAGTCTGTTGCCTGTTGAGTGAGGAATGGTGCCTATGCGTCCCTAAAATCGGTTGCTGGGAGGCAACGGCTTTGAAGGGCATCGCAAAATCCCGAGGAGTTATAGGCTATCCGATAAGCGCTCTTCATGTGGCATTATCTTCCTCGTCCCAATTGCTTATGGACTTACTTTTTTATGTAGATCAACTTAAGAAGCGACAAAACATCGCAGCGCCCTACCTCATACTCAAAGGCAATGCCCACTCCTTGACTGCTCCAGAATTTGCCCACAATTTTTGTGCCCAAAACACGAAGTCCGAGGGATGTATATGCCCTGAAGAAAATTGAACATTTGAGTACCTCTTTAAATACTACTGCTTGTCCCGCAACAGCTAAGGCGTACAACGTTGGTGCTGCAGTGCTCTTGAAGGTTCCTGCTAAGTAGAAAGAGTTCGTCCTTTCAAATGACCACTCCTGCATCCTTAATAGACTAAATGAAATCACGATAAAGCGACTTTGCAGTTTAGCTGGCGCATTAGGAAATTTCAGCTTCGTACACGTACGCTCCAATTGGCACATGCGTGTGTGGATCACAGTTTTGTGTCTCTCTGCTGAGTAAATACGGATTTTCGAGAAAGCATCAGTAGTGTCAAGCATCAAGTAGAGTGTGGTCCGCATAATGTATTTACTGATACCCGATATGAAGACTTCGGAACTTCTGCTTCACAGCGATCTCTTTCAAGAACTTGATGCTAACACACTTGCAGTTCCGGCATCGACGTGGGGTTATACTCGCAGGCGCTGCTAGATTCTTGCACTAAGCTTTTTCCTCAATAACTTATCCGCCTGCCCCTCGGCTTCCTCTTCGCGCTGTGGGGCCTTCTGGTGCTACGGAGCACAGCTCGGGGCTGACCCGAGTACTGCTTTAATACAGTGGGCTGGACGATCAGCAGATGGCCAGCCTGCTGGCAGCTCGTCAATCTTTAGCATATCCACGGGCGTTTCCTCGATGCTTCCCTACCTCTGCTGTTGTTCAAGTTGTGAGTTCAATTGCCTTCCCTATTAAAGAACCAGCTGGAGAGCTAGTAAGACGGGATGCAAGCGCAGAACAGTATTCTGTATTGCACCGCTGGCTGCCCGCAACAGACTTTGCCTCAACTTGATCAGATGTCGACTCTAACCCGATCGCCATACGTATATTAAGGGTTGTCAAGGAAAGCAGGAGGTGCTTTTTAGAGCTTCCAATCATACTAACTTCCAAACCACAGCTGCGGAGCGATGCAGGCCTTCCACCAGGTCTCCCATGATATACCTGAGATTGATTCAGACGCACGACAACAGAGAAGAAAACGGACCATGTTGATGAAACTCAGCCTCGATTCGCAGTGGCATACAGCTGCGATGGCCTTAAAAACTCGCGTTTTTCCGCCCCTTTGAGAACCTGAGTTTTAGGGACAGCTAACGACCGAACAGGCATGCACTTCCAAGGCCTCCTCTTCAATCACATAGCAAATTATCATTCAGTGTCAAGCAACTCTAGCAACCCTTGGTCACCAATGTGAACTGGGTTTTGCACAGAATTGGCTTGTGGTGGGTCTCCATCTGCAGCACTGTTCTCTGTCCTTCCCTTGACCAAACCACAGCCTGCATGAGAAGCTTCAATGTTTCTTATGTGTGTTTCCGTGCTCGTCAACCAGCCTGCTTCCGCTGAGTCTAGTTCCGTTGTCCAACCTATTTGGTTCTATGCCTGCGCTTGCACTTCGGGTGGTGTTTGAAGTTTCGCTGCAGAAATTTTATTGTTGAATTCTCAAGTAGCTTGAGCGAAATCAGAATACTCCAGTAGGGAAGCCTGACACTATATGTGCACAGTCTGTCGATGAATAGGAAATAGTTGGACCGAACCATGCGGGGCTACCAGCTGTAATGCTTTAAGTAAGGTTTCCATAGGGAGTTACGCAATCCCTGACTCAATACAAGCCTTTAAAAGCCTCCCAGTTAGTGCGTCCCAAAAGAACTTCTGACATTCCTTGCCCGTGCCCCTTGAAATTCCCGATATGAAGAGAGAAAGACACCTAGTGTGGGTGCCGCTACACCCTTTGATCCCTCAGAACATTCACAGCTAGCTCACCACAGCATCTAGCACACATGCACCCAGCATTGCTATGTGCAACAGACCCCACCCCTAGCTCTCGCTTTCCCGCGACGTCCAGAGCTATGAGGGCCGCGTGCAGGGAATGCACGGAGCTTGCTTGAAAAAGCACCCAATAGCTTTATGCTAAGTTTACATTTGTCTTGGGTGTAGGGTCTCCCTATGGAGAGCTTAGATGAAATGTGTGTGTGCACTCGGGCTACAGCAATACAGTGACACAAATGAGAATTGTGATCACCACACAATTTTTGATGCGGTGAAACACCGAGATTCGCAGACTAAGAGAGCTTTTCTTGCAGCCTTAGGGGGCTCGTGACTCGTAGACTTGGTGGTGCCTAGGAACACGGATGGAAGCGGTCTGCTTGCACTGTCATAAGATCCCCACACATCGCTTAGACTCAGCACTGCATCCTCAAAGCACGCATGCTCGTGAATTTCTCGATAACTTTGCCAGTGTGTGAAACACCTGTCGATCGTGTTGCATGCAGCACATAGACGGCTAACACCCAATCTCGTGTAAATGGTCTATTGGATTGGCAAAATGCCACGTGTTAATGCAGAGCAGAATCGCTGTTTATGCAAATCCAAGCCAATCAGCTCGAAAGACTGATATAAGTACTGCGTTGCACGTTACCGTTAACATTAGCTTTACGCAGAATCCAGCAAGGAGTCAAGCTCCACGATTCTGGTGGACTAACCTGTGAAGCCCTGCTGGTGGCCAGCCCAGTAGGCACAGTTTTAGCTAAACATGTGTGTTGACTCCGAATAAAGCTAATGTTTTCGTCTAAACGGCAAAGTTTGCAGAATGTACCGCGGTGAGGCCCAGTAGACCCGTGGTGCTGCGCTGTGGGCATTCGAGGGCCGGCCCCATCGTCGGGGCTGCGACTTGAACTTCCGTTCTTCTCCCACGAAAACGAAGCGCTACATCCTTTCCCACTTCAAATTGGTATCACTAGCTCAATTGCTTTGGTTCAGCGACTGCCCAAGTGGCAGCTACCCCAGTTACCCTTACGGACTCCACCTGCCCAGGAGGAACACAACGCGGCTTGCTCTCGGAGAGGCTCACTGCCGCAGATGAGGGCCCCATAGCCTTGTGCTTTTTGGCACTCTGTAGCATGAGGCCTCGACATGAGGCAGCAAATTAGTTAATGAGTGTGTATTTTGCGTCTGGGAGTCTACCTAGGGCTTTTTCCAGATTGGTGCATGACGAGCTCGACGGAGAATGCACACCGTGGAACCCTTGAGCCGTGATGTACTGCTGTAAGATTACTACGAAGGGGGCAACCGCCATTCATTTGTACACGATACCAGTTTATCGCTGGAAAGAGGAAACATCTCATCCTTCTGTGCTTAGGGAACAATTAGCAGCGCCTCAGGCGGCAGGAACTATGGGCCAAAAGAGAGACTATCGCCGATCCCCAGCTACACATTCCGCACATTGCCTTCATCTTTACTAATGCCGAAACTCTCTTTTCTGCATTATTACCTGATATTCCAAGCAGAACAGCCGCCGCCGCGCTCTCACACCGGCGGCTCGGCTATCCTTCCTCCATTTCTTTCGGCTCAGCCGAGCGCGGCATTCGCGCTGCAAGGATGACTCTGAAGGTGGGAGACAAGGTAGCCGTTTACGGCTACCCAGCAACGGTGAAGTATGTCGGCTCATTCCCCACCTGCAGGACTGCCGCTCGCGGCTCGGGACGACTCACAGGTCCAGTTGTTGGCGTCGAGTTTCACAAGAAAGGCGCAGGGGACTGTGACGGCACTTACCATGGACATAGATACTTCCAGTGCGCTCCGAGAATGGGGCGCTTTGTGCGCGAATTTTCCGTGAAGTCATACAGCCGTAAGGCGCGATACTTTTCTTCCGCGGTGCCTCGGGCACAACCCTCTCTCCATGCCCCTTACATACAGCAAATAGAGTGCCATTTCGTAGCCTTTACCCTCCTCAATCTTCTGCAGATTCTCTGCGTGAAAGACTCTGTGGCGACCGTGGCCATCTCACCACTGTGTGCCCGTATGGTGGCCAAAGTATATGCACACCTTCGCATCAGCCCTATCCCTAATGTCTTAGCACACTAGGGCCTTTATACAACCCCTGGAAGAAGCTGAAAGGCCCCAACAGTGTTACTGTACATACACGCGCTTAAAGCATTGACGGTTTCAGCAAGAAAATCTGAGGGACGATAGTCGTGCATTTTGCATGTGTGTGTTCGGCTGCTCAGCGGAAACCTGCGCTGCCATTCGCATCCAGGCCTGCTACCGCCGTTACCGAGCGGCTGAGACATTCCAAGAGCTGGCGGCTTTTCGATTTTGGAATGAACTTGACCATTTTGAGGAGAAGGACGCCCTTGTCAACAACAGGCAAGTCCCACAAACCATGGTTTATGTCTAGCTGGACTGGGCCTGCGTGTAATCGCGGGGTGGATCACATCGTCTTGTGCTTCCTCACTCCGCTGTATGTTCTCTCTCTCTCTCTCTCTCTCTCTCTCTCTCTCTCTCTCTCTCTCTCGAGGGTCCTTTCTGCGTGCAGTTCACCTGAACCTCAACTCAGGTGCATGTTGCTGGCTAATGCATATCGCTTGCTCTCATAGGGGTATGTGTATGGGCGCAGTTGATCAATCTTCTGCTGCACTATGTCCTGCAATCGGTCTTGCGCTGCATGTCTTCCGCCTACCAGAGATGTTGGCACCCCAACTCTCAACACGATTAAAAAGCAGATTCACGAAGCAGATGTCTTTGAAGTTGGTGATGTACCCACGGAGAGGCCGCACTCGGGCAGCAGCCTTCAAGTTCCGGGGGCTCCAGGAAGCGCTGCTCCAGGTGGCCGTTTGGCTAGACGACGCTCATCGACGAGAGTTAGTTTGTGCTTCTAGAAGCAACCGTTGAACGTACATGAATCAGACCAACCGATGCCTGAAAGACTGCTTGTCTGCTTCCTGAGTGCCTCACTACCGCGGGCTAGGCACTGCATATTCTGATCTGAGCCCCTACTGGGACCTTAGGAACAACCAGTAAACGTAGCAAAGGCGAGAAAATGCTCGAGAGATGCTTCCTGAGTCTGTACCTGGGCTACAGTGCACATCCTTTTAAAACCATCCGTCTTTCACTGCTCCTCAGCGTGTCTTGTGCCTCTTCCCCACCATGCGCCGGTGTGGCTGTGCTGCCACGGCCTTTTTGCCAGTCGTTGCGAGCTGCGCGGCGCGGGGGTTCCTCTTTTTGTGCGGTTGTCTTTCCCTGCATCGTGGATTGCACGGCTATGGCCCCTCTAGCCGCACCCCACAACCTCAGCCGTCCACAACTCGCGCCCTTTCACTGCGTTTCCTGCAGCGTTCGCAGCAGCGTCAGAGCATCGACGCTTCTACTATTGCTGAAGAGGGTCTTCCACCCGGCTACACGGGACCCCACCTCAAGTGGCCCATCACTAGGGAGTTTGCTTTGGACCTGATCGACCATTTCCGCGAGCACTCGGATGTGCGTTGAGTTTAGAGAAGGCACAGATCTACGAACTACTTACCTCGAGGCAGACAGCGCTTGCAGTGCACTGTGTTTTCAGGAACTGCTGCCGGCAGTTGTCTCATCTCAACAGAGTGTCTGATTGGAGCATGTTGGAGTGTTGATTCTCACCTCCCACGTACACTGATAATCAAGCTGTCCGCGGCATTTGCCTTCGCTTTTGCGCTCGCCGTAGGTCCCTCTGCCTCGCAAGTATGCGCTGGAGCTGGTGATGGCGGTGGAGGAACATTACAAACAGACGATGAAGGGTGCAGTTGCGGAAGTCGAGATCCCGAAGAAGCCCGGTGCCCGTCTTGTGGTGAGAATAAGAGACGAAAATCACATTTGTCTTCAACGTGGACTATTGCCAGTGTTTCTGGAGGTGTTGTTGGGAATGCGTGCTTTGGACCAATCTTCACTAGGTTGCTCTCTTTGCCCTTTCCTTGACTTCTAACCCCTTTCGCTCCTTTATCGCGCTGCTGTTGTAGCATCACGGTGTGCAAGGCGTGCACTTTTTTTGTTCCGTGGCCTTCTTACGCGGCTTTGTCAATTCCTGCCTCTCGCTGCCCTGGGATGTGTTGCAGCTCGTTGGCGACACGCATGGACAGCTGAACGACGTCCTTTGGATTCTGTACAAGTTTGGGCCTCCCTCTGCGACGAACGTGTATGTCCCCCTAGACATAGGCTGGCGATGAGTTGTACCATCTTCTGCAAAAATTGCCATTCGCCCTCTCAGAGTCAGAGGGTTTAGCCTTGCGCAAGGCGGAGCGGTGGCCGGAAATTGTAGCCACGCATGTATACGCTTATTATAGTGTATCCTTCAGGGGCGTTGTATGTGGATCGAGACGACGGACGAGCCGGTGGTTTCGTTTTGCGGTGCGCGCTCAGGTATCTGTTTAATGGAGATATAGCTGATCGAGGCCGCAGTTCAGTTGAAATATTTCTGCTTTTGTTTGCCTTCAAGCTGCAATGCCATTCTTCCGTGATTATCAACAGAGGGAATCACGAGAGCGCAGATATGAATGAGGTATACGGATTCGCTCAGGAGGTGCGGCAGAAGTACGGCGGGCTGCTATATCAGAAGTTCCAGGATATTTTTCACCTGCTACCCCTCTGCGTGGTGCTTGAGAAGCGCGTGTTTATTGTGCACGGAGGTCTCTGCCGAAAGGACAACATCACACTGCACCACATCGATCAGCTGCACAGGCAGCGACCCTGTCCGGCATCTCCCCACACCTTCGAGGACACCCTGATGTTCGATCTCCTTTGGTCTGATCCACAGCCAGACCGAGGTAGGGGATGGAGCACCAGGGGTGCAGACTGTATTGCATTTGGCCCCGACGTGACCGACGCTTTCCTCACGAAAAACAACCTCGAAGTCTGCATCAGATCCCACCAGGTGAAAGGAAGCATGGATCGTACACCTCTCCTCATCTCTCACAGAAATAAGTGCAAATTCCAGAAACTGTGTAGCGCCGCCGAACGGGTATAGGGCGGGTTGCGCGCGATGCAGATCTGTGTGATTGCCAGTTGCTGCTTCCTGCGCAGCCTTTGCGGTTGAGCAACGACAGCCAAAAATCCTTGTTCCGTCGTGTTATTCTTGTATCAGGCCTTTATGTCCGTTAGAAGGGCCGACGTTGAGGGTCTCAATCCCTGGTCATCGGCAAATGTGCCATGCGTATGTATTTCCGTCTTGTATTGCTCTGCTTCCCAGGGGGAAGCTTACATGCTGAGCATGTCTAGAATTCGTCTCCTAATGTGCTCCTTGTTGCTTTTGTTTGGGCATCCGTTCAGGTGCCGACGAACCTTCGAGGGTTCGAGCCAGTGCACGATGGGCGCTGTGTGACGCTTTTCTCCGCTTCCAATTACTGTGGGACTACGGGTAATTATGGGGGCGTGATTATCTTTGAGGCCAACCTATCATTTGAGATCCAAGAGTACATGGCGCCTACCCTGCAGGAAATACAGCAGCTGCACCGTGAGACTTGCGCGGCGACACAGAAGGTGCTGTTGCAGAAGAAGATAAAGGAACTAGAGACTCAGGCGAAACGGGCAAACAGACGGTCAGCCGCGGCAAGGATGAGCCAAGAAATCGTCCAGAAAATGTGCAAGATGGTATGCGAGAAGAAACAAGACCTCTGGTGGTGTTATTTTAATATGGACGCTGAAGGATCGGGGAAAATCACACCCGCGCAGTGGCGGTAGGTGAACCGATTTATTCAAGATTGAAGAACATGCAGAGGAAAAGCAGAATGCATGTGCATGCGTATGGCATTGTTTGGCACTTCGCTCGTGACTAGCTGCTTGGTACATAATGAAGTGTATATATGCTGCTAAACAGGCGCAAGAATGTTCAGCCTGCACCCAGCATTGTATAGATATGCCTTTTAGTACAAATACAAGCGCATATCTCGGGACCCGTGTAGATATCCATGCTGCATGCCACTGTATTAATGTGCTTGCTGGGCTTGATAGTATTTAGTTGGATGTTTGTTCATTGGCAAACGCTGGCGCACTCGGACGATTGTTTGAGAATGGACACGTGCTTGCTATTTGAAACCTTGCGCTTTCCCTTCTGCAGAGAAGCATGTTCAATAGTACTGGGACAGGAATTGCCGTGGGTGAATATCATGAAGTGTCTGAAGGCGGTCAGCAAGGATGGATTCGTTCATTACAATGACTTCCTGTATCGATACAAAGTTGATTTTAGGCCACCAATTTGCAAGCACCTTAATTGGAGACAGGAATGCGTTGCAAGGGTGCGTCAGGAAGAGTGATCATTGTGGGGTTGTTTTATGGTTGCTGCTGTGCGACTCTTCATTGGATTTGCGGTTCGCGTTGTGAAGGATGAAGAAACAGGGATGAGGCCTTTGCTGAGTTCATCTAGGTGTTGTGCATCATGCACCACTTATTAAGATACGAATGAGGGTCTCTATGTGGTGCTCAGGTGTTCGAGTCCATCATGAGCGCGGATTTGAGTTTAAAGGAAACACTGATGCTATTTGACAGAAATTGTGACGGAACGGTGTCGGTCAGAGAATTCAACGAGCTCCTGTCTGAACTAGATATTGGTAAGAAGGAGCACACGAAAGACCATCTCTGCCTACGCAGGCTAGATAGAATGTTTAACGGGGAAGCAAAGATAACGTAAGCTCAAGTAGCCGTTTTCGTGGATCCACAGTGGGCAGCAGCAAAAGCAGACTCTTTCCCAACCGAAAGGGTGTAGGGGCTGCAGCAGAAGCAGCTGCACAAGCAACCATCACAGTGCCGTCATGTCGGCGCAACAGGTGCCTTTTGCTGTGTACTGTCTGCTTTGTGCTTCTTTGTCTTTTTTTTCTGATCTTCCCGTAATGTATGCACAATTTTGCCGTGCCTTGATGCCCTGTGCCTGCTTCAGTTCTCCCACTCAACTCTTTGTCCTCGACTGCTGCCCTTGCCGTGTCTCGCTTGTTCCTCGATGCACGGCATTTCTCTGGAAATTTGTTCTGCTTCTGTATGTCGCAGGTCTCAGTGAACCCCAGGTGCGTATCCTTATGCGCCTGATCACTGCGAGTCCAGCGTTTAACGCTGCAGCAGGCAGCATCGACGTTGCGGAATTCCTGGGCAGATTCAAAGTTGTGTACTCAAACTCAATTAAGGAGGAGTAAGTATGAAGGAGAAAGATACAGAGACAGAGAACAGCAGCCAAAGGCGGGGAGATGGGCGGAGGCATCCGCAGAGAAAAACAGCGAAGCAGTCTCACAGATAAAGTAGCGGAGCCTTACAGCACAACCAAGCACATGAATACACGTGCACGTAAAGCCACCAGCTGATCTATAATGCTTTGTTCGAGTTCTCTTTGTTCTCTGTGCCTTCCTTCCCGCAGCCCTCAGGCGAAGACTCCCTGGTTGAGCCGAGCGCTGCACTGCATTGGGAAGGCAATTTTAGCCGACAAAGCAGAGGCTGCGTCTCGTCACTATGAGCAGCAACAGTTACAGGAAGGAGGCTTCATGGGCGAAGGAGGCAGCAGAAGAAGAAGCTCGGCAGACAGGGCGGTTGCACTCTTCCAAAAGTTTAAAGATTACAATGAGGGAGGCGACGGTGAGGGGCATCGACATATGCGACGTTTCTTGGTTGTGCTCTTTAATGTACATGGGCTACATTCCGTCGTACCAACCCTTTTCTAGTTCTCTGGGAGTAATGCTGTTGCAAGGACGTAAACGTGGTATGGTATTGTGCCATTTAATCTCAAAATCCTAAGCGTCGAATGCACAACTGGTGCTCATAGGATGCTCTTCTTCATATGCTTAGCACCTCCAAGTTTTCTGAAAAAGTCTACATTGGTCTGGTGTGCCCAAATGCGGAGTGTGCATTCTTTTGTTCATATTCTGTTCTCGCTTGCTGCTGAGTCTCATGGCTTTCCCATCTCCAGATTCTGCTGATGGAAGTGAAGTATCTGTGTTCCTCTGCATTTATCTCCGTGTGATTCTCTTCGTCTGTGATTTGCACTATGTCCGTGGTATCTTCGATGTGTTTGCCCCTCAGCTTCGTTTTTCCTTTTTATTAAGTGTAGCTGCTGTCAGATTTTTCTTTTATCTTCCTGCATGTGCGTGCTTGCGTCACTTTTTTCTCTCAGGTTATTTGTCATACGATGATTTTATATCTGGTATCAAGCGCCTGAATATAGACGAAGAGGAGCTTGGCTTTGCCCTCACCGATGCGCACCTTTACAGAGTGCGTTGTTTGCCTTTTGAGTACCCTTGCATTCTTAAATATGTTTTGGCATGTCCTAGGACGATTTTGTTTTCTTTCCTGCTTTTCTAGCGGCACTGCCCACGTATGTTATACTGTTCGATGCACGTATGTGATTCCTTCTCCTTTTCTCCTGTAGGTGGTTGAGGCGATCGACCTAACGGGTTCCAAGCGCATCAACTATCTGGAGTTCCTTCAGGCATTCCACGTCGTCGACAGCAGCTCAAAGAACAACCTTGCTGAAGAGGTACGCAAGGCAGAGCGGCGAAGAAAGGGAGCTATCTGATCTGTGTGTTGGTTATTTAAATTTAACGTCATAGGTTGCTTGTTTGTTTTTTTTATTTATTGTGTATACTCTGCCCCTTACTGAGAAGGAAAGGGAGTGAATATGCGTGCAAGGGAGCAAGTGATATACGCTTTGGTGATCGAATTTGATTTTCCAATTTTTTTCTTTTTGCGTTCGTCGGTGATTTCCTGTTCTGTTGTTTGTTTGTGTGGCATTTGCTGCGCTGCAGCTGTGGGGTCAGATCTGCACGACCCTTTTCCAGCACTCCAACAGCATCCGGAGAGCTCTCCATCAGTTTGATCCAGACTTGACTGGAAAGGTGGACTCTGAAGACTTCCGCTCCGCCCTCGTGACGCTCAATACTGTTTTGGCTAGAACAGAGTGCGTTAGCAAATCCAGAGCATATTTGAGGGAGCGAAGAGAAGGAAAATGATTAGAGAGATATTTGTGAAGTGCACGGGTTATTGGGACAGTGAGAAGGGTCATGGCGTCAGTGGGATGACAAGGGGCTACAAATGAGACGCGCAAGGAATTTCGGGCAGAACGGGGGTAGAGCAGAAACGACGAGATTGTTAGAGGAATTGCGCACAACAGAAAGTCATAGATGAGACGGGAGTGATGGACCGAGGAGCAACGGGACCGATGCTGCCTGCTGCGGTTGAAAGGAAGAGGCAGAGGCTAGGGAAGAGGCAGAGGCTAGATTTCTGGTGTAAAAGCTAATTGGGTCACTCTGTGTGCTAACCTCTAGTTTTGGATTGATCTAACGTGCGCCAACTTTAGCGCAAGGCTGTAGCGTCCTCCTCTCTTGTGTTGTTTCCTGTTTGCCACTTAGGGCACCCCTGACCGAGGAGCAGATCGATTTACTCGTTAATTTCATGGATCTAGACAGCGAAGGAATGGTAGAATACGAAGAATTCCTGGATTCGTTTATTCCGGTTGACAGTTACTGCACCGGTCCTAGTGGCCTGCCGTGCCTTCCGGATGCAACAGAAGCCGCTCCTGCATCCACATCGTCTGCTCCTCCTGCCACTGCTCCTAATGGAGATAACTTTTCTGCGAAGCAAGCAGGCTTGAAGGTTAATGATGGAAAAGGTGGCAGCAGCGGCATCGCCGATCCTCAGAAACCCGCAGCAACAGCTAGTAGCACTGCGAAAAGCAGCAAGCATTCAATGGAAGTTGACGAAGGGAACAGGCGGTTCACGTTTAGTAGCCATGTCGGAAGGTAGAGTAAAAGCATGGAGAACTGAGTTGCCGCCGAAAGATTCAGATGTGTAGCCTGAAACCAAGCCCGAGCTACGCAGGGTGTTTTCAAAAGGGGAGCGTCGACAGGTGTTCCAAAGTAAAGCAACTCCATGGGGATGATGTAAATCAGCAGGGGCCTGGGCGTGTTTGTCGCTTTATGGGCGGTGTGGGAGTGCGATAGCAGAGATCGAAGAGACGGACAGCACTGTTGCCAACGCTGTAACAGTTTCAGCACGCAATTATTCTGAGGGAGAGTGCAACGGAAAATCGGAAACGGTGGGAAGCGGCGAGTCAGGAAGGCAGTGGGAAAGGCGGATTTACATCAAGAGTACTTTCTTCTAATCTTTGATAAGCGGTCGATTCGCCTTGCTTTCCCTTCCCTCTTCCTGGGCGTTGTCGGGGACTGCACCGGGGCACAGTTGTGCACCTTTTTTCTTCTTTGAAGGTAAGCAGCCAGCAGCGGACCAAAGAACAGCGAGGGGGAACGAGACACGAGACAGGCAGGGTGTTTCTCGGCCCCTGTAGCAGACAAGAAGAAACTGAGAAGAGAGACGTAGCGAGGCACACGGATATGCGTGTTGTGCAGTATCGTTGTCTGCTTCCCTTATTTTGCCCGCGCCTCATTCCTGCTCGTCTCTCGTTTCGGCTGTTCTTTTTTCCTGTCTGATGAGGATGCGCGTTCTTGCCACGATCTTTACTTGTGTTGCTTTGGGCTCTTGTTCGCTTGGCGGTTCGAGGGAGGGGCTATGGCTGCCAGTTTTGCTTCCCCTCCCAATTTCGCGTATTCCTGGGACATCCGCCTTCACAAGTTGCATCTTAACTTCGCAGTGGGTTTTGTAGGTGGGCGCGAGTTGTACGCATGGAGACAGATCCGTTCATGTGCCTACTCTACATCCCGTTCGCATAACATCCATTTGTAGCTGTATACAGACTAGTGTACCGGTAGGGGTACAGGTATACTTGCACACCTGCTTTTCTATACTGTAGAAAGCAAGCAAGTAAAAAATTCTCAGGCACTAGTCGCTTGATGTCTGTATGGACATCGGTGAATGCCTACACAGTAGTCAAGAGACATGTAATACCGGGAAAGCCCATCCACTTGATCAAATCCCACAAAACAGATATGCCTATCTGCATTATAGACTCAGTACATTCCCTCCTTTAGCCGCGCAGTTTCCCGGTGTGCGCGTGGCTATCTTCACGGTCCGTCAGTGGACGCAGGGCCTTAAGGACGCCGTCAAGAGACAGGCCTTCTAGTGGTACGCAGTCATCCAGGACAAAGCACCCCTGGCGCGTCCTTACCTATGGCAAAAGACACATGGGTTCAGTCCCCAAAATTGATGGAGGGTTCGGAAGGCGAGGAGGGTACACCGGATGGTTGGCAGACGCGTGCATATCACTCGGGAGGGCTAAGGGCCGGGACGGGGATGTAGAGCAGCTATCACCCCGACATAGATGTGCACATAAAAAGACGCCCAGAGAGGGGTGCAAGAGATATATGGGAAAAGAGGGTAAGAAAAGGCTGCATATGATTCTGAGGGCGGAGAGGGGTTAGGGGACGACCACGGGTTCTACCCCTTAGGATCAGGCAACTAGGAGCCAGACAATAACACAGGGAGCCGAGGATACGCGTGGCCTGCACGTATGAGCAATTGGTATGCCTTACGAGCATTTGCAGATGGCCAACTGTGCCAAGTTCTGCAGCGATGTCAGCCGCCAACTGGCGGATATAGGTGCCCTTCGAGCAGCGGACGGCGAATTCGAAGTCTGGGAGCTGAAACAAGCTCGAAATGGCGCACAACAAACACCCGAGCACGACTAACTGCACGAATGCAGCCGAGACGATTGATACAAATGCCCACCTTGAATGCAGCTCAAACGTTTTGGATCAGGGAAGGACTGTGAGAGTAGTACACGCAAAGCGAGTTTGCAAAAACATTGGTGCCTTTTTCTGGCGTGGCTACTGCCCTTCGGACTGTTTACCAGTACTTCTGCGCGTCTCAATATTTTGATTTGGTCGATCGAGACGAGAGAAGCCGGCGGCCTGTCCGCAGGTGTGTAAGCAGTGCCCTCCCGAGCTAACTCGTAAGAATGACGCCCCCGTATTCTCTTCGCTGAGTTATAACATCCGCAATTCACCACGAACGTGTAATGAATGGTCAGGCGTTCACGTTCGGCGCCAACAAACGAACAAAGACTGCCTCCCTGATGAGACTCTGAGAAAGGCACGGCCCTAGTTGTACATCCTCAATGATGCTGCAGCTACTGGGTTTGCAGTGGCCGACCAAAATAAATTAGCTGGAGCCACCAACAACGGCTAGAACAAAGCAGCTTTCTAAGGAGGAAGGAAAGGGGTGTAGAAACACCAGACAATTGAGGCACGCTGATAAAATATACCGAGTCCGTCCGCTGGAGAGGCAGCGATCGAGCCAGAGGCCGAGCAAGCCTACCGGAGAAAAGAGGTGGTTGTTGTAGATACGACAGACCGTTGAATCTCCCGATAACTTGCTCGAGTCGTTCGAAGCTGACGGTTTCCCAGGGCACCTCCCGCACCTTTTTTCCCTTAAGGCACCAACAAGAAGAGTCAGCGCACATCGTTCTGAGGTTTCCATCTAGCCCCTTGGAGGCGGCCACGCCGCAGCGGACTGTGGCGACAGCGAGCGGCAACACTCCAAAAGGCGAGACCGCAGAACAAATATACTGAACTGAAGCAGCGGGGAAAAGGCTAAAGCAGCGCGCGCACAGTAGAAGGAAAGCCAGCGATAAGGAAGCCAAGATGGAGTCGATGACGCGGCAAGGCGCCAGGAACAGAGAGGCGATGCACAAGGGCCACACGGGAGAAACACAAGGTAGAGGGGGTGGCTCTGAGAGAGTCTGTCTCTCGACCTCAAACCTACCGCAGCATCTAGCGTATCTGTTTCTATTCCAAGGCGAACGCGTGCTACGTATTCCTTGGGGCCTACAGAGGCGCAAACATCAATGTACATACGAACGACCTTATGTCGTTCTCTGTCGATTTTGTCGTTTGGGTGCGTCCCCCAAACCGCATCTAGTATATCTTGTTCTCTCTTCATTTCCGCACTCTATGGAGATGGCACTGTCAGGGGTGTGAACTCCGTCCTGCGCCCCTTCTACCGACTCCCTCTCATGCGGTCTCGCCTGTGCTGCTCCTATTGTTGCGCTCTGCCTACCGTCTAGAAGCCCCTTCAGGTGTGCAGTTCCCCTGCCGACGCCTAAAACCAAGACGCCTGAGAAAAAGCCACTCAAGCCCACAAGAAGAAGTAGGTGCCACCGGTCATAGTTGGTGAAAAAGCATTACACTAGACGCAGATGCCCTCCCCTCCTCCGTAGATGAAGGACGCAGAACGACCACCAAAAAGCCTTCGAGGGAAGTGCCAAAGGAACAACACACAGCTTGGGGGCGCCAGCCCAACTAAGGGCACACAGAAGGGCGCAGAGCAAGCAGGAGAGAGAGGGAGGGGGTAGACACAGAGATCGAGAGAGAATGCTTCTGAACAGCTAAGCAAATATCACATGGGGAACGACCCCAATGTGACGGGGGGAGGTAAGATGAACAAAACTGCAGCTGGGGGAAAAACGAGGAGAGCATTCTGACAGGCGCAGCCTTGAATAACGCGAGACGCGCGCGGACGGACGGAGGCAGGCAGCGGTAGGGAAGGGCTGGCATATGAGGCAGGTGCCTTACCGGACGCTGGAGGATCGAGCGTCCCACCATGACCAACTCGCAGCTTCTGCCTCTGCTGCAGCTCTGGAGTTTGAAAATTTGTTCCGTGAAGGCACTCGCCATAGGAAGGTTTGTCTGGCAGGCGGAGCGGCTCTGTCTCGTGGGCACTCGCTCTCTCTGAGAAGCGTGGGTACGGAGTTTTGAGTATATGGCGGACGACTCGACAGACGTCTGCTGAAGTTATTCCCCTGGGCTTTAGAATGGGTAGCAAGCCATCTATGCACCTTAAGTCGTGAAACATGTCTCCATTTTTTTTCCTCTCTCTGCGTGAGGCCTCATCTTCCCGTAGAGTGGCCACCAACTGGAGGAGATCTCTAGACGCCGGGGTGTCCACTAAATGACTAGGCAGTCCTTCATGAAGCCCCCTCGAATCCTGTACACCTGCAGATGCATTTGCCCAGCTGGTTGACGTCGCTGCAGCTTCCACACGAGACGAAGGGCAACGATGGAACCAAGGCGATGCCCAAGACGAAGCAGCTGACGGAGGAAGGTATGCATCCGCACACGGTTCCACGATCCACACCGCCACCTGTGTAGCTAGTAAACGAATGCCCCGCATGCCATTCCGGATGAGGGTTGGGACTTTTGTTTCTGGAAAAGGCCTCCGTTGCTGATGCAGGAGAGCGTAAGCAGATAGAATTGCGGGAAATACGGACACAAGCAACAAGAGGGCTTTCAGAAGAAGAGAGAATGAAAGCAATCAATCTTGGCTGAAGGGTTATTCGTCTTTGAGAAATTCCTTCCCCTCCACTTTCGGTGGGCCCCCCTTCGGACGGCCTCCTGTATGAAATGTATTAGGGTACGTGTCTGGTCAGTGCTGCTGCTTAACAGTGGCCCTTCGTTGTTATATCCAGAATTATAACATTTCACACATTAAAATAAGAAGGCAAACAGGTAGACCGTGCCCTGTTGCTATAGCTGCCCGAAAGGTATCGATGCAGTATGCAAGGAAGTAGCACAGGATAGTGGCATCCCACGAGTATATATTCTGCTCCTCCTGCCCCCCACCTTTAAAAAAGCATTAGAAGAAAATACGGTCAAAATCAGACAAGAATTTCGGAAAGTTGCCCATATCGATACTTTGTGCTCTGTCGGCTGAAAAGTTTATACGCAGCTTTCCGTTTAGCTTCGTCCCCCCATGTAGTAAGAGTGACCTCACAACTGGACTCCCAAAATTCTGGTATAGCTGGTGTGTACAGACTGCTAAAATGTGAGAAGCCATAATTCGGTATCGCCAGGTGCATGCAGAGGGACTGATTCTCCGTTTCAGTATTCTCCAAACGGGAGTGCTTAAGGACCCATATGCACGCCTATTAACCATTCATTGATGGCAAACCTCCATTTGTACCATGCTTGCAGCAAAGCATAGGAAACCCATTTTTCTTCGGAAAAGGCAACCCTCTAATTTCACGATCAGAAATACGCATATAACGAAAAGCATGTTCATTTTGTGCTTTATTTCGTCCCTCAAAGAAGTGCAGTACCTTCCTATTTTCCTCTTCCCGTTCGCTGTTGTATTACCTTTCGCTGACACTCAGGACGCAGAGCCATATATTTTCCCTGTGCGTCCATTCCTGCGATTTGGCGGGTTAGACTGCGATGCTGGCTTCACAGCAGACTGCATGACTTTATTCAAAGCAACAGGACCTCAGTTCATGCAGAGAACCAGAATCTGCCAGTGGGCAAGACCAGTGCATATACAGCTGAGCGCCGTGCATCATGCACTGAAGCCAGCAGTAGCTACTGCAGCACCAATGCTTGCTGCTAATGTTGGTTTTGCTGTTTCTCTTCTTAGACAAAATCATGGCACCAAGCAATCACTATACCTTTTTTTTATTGGATAGGGAACAGGGAAACCTTTTGGCCGCTGCAGCATTACGTAGCTTCCTTTGTGAGAGGCACGCAGTAGCGAGAGTGCTGCAGTTGGGGTGCACTCAATGAGGCTGACACAATACAAATCTGGTTTCTCTTAGGTGGTTCTTAGATCGGGAGGCAGCATCAGCTACCACTAGCAATGACGCAGATGGGCGGCGTTTTGCTGTGAGGCGGTTGCGCGTGTATCTAGGTAAAGGGGAGGACAAAGACGAATAAAAGCTCTTTGCAGAACACTGTTTAGTGGGTGTTTGTATTGCCACAGGGAGGAGCATTGCTGCGAACACCGTTGGCCTTTGCAGTGCCAGCCACTACCCTCATCCCTGCAATGTAGCTTGTCCTTCTTTGCTGTCGAACTGACATATTTCTTCCATCCACCTTTGTGTGGTTCTGGAGGTACCACCTGTGAGCTGCTGATGCGACTACCGAAAATGCCACAGCGGACACCGCTGGAGCTGCTATATTATTAGACACAATGTGGTAGTGGCTCTTGCTGCTGCTCTGTTGTCGCACAGCGTCTACGTGACCTACCGTTGATTAAGCAGCAGCCGAACAGTGCAGCGCCCAGCATGGTCTGCTATAATTAAGCCTCCAGAGAGTCTGAGTGACCAATACTGTTGCTTTTGATGTGATCATCTTGAGTTTCTGGTCTCTTAGGCAGTTACTAAAAGAGGCGTACCTTATGCATCCACTGCTGCACTTGCCCTCCCAAGCATAGCTACTGATGATGCTGCCGCTGCTGCTGCAGGCCCTGGTTTCTGCTCCCCAGTTCCCTTGTAGGACAGTTCCTGTAACAGATAATCAGCTGCTGCTGCCGTACGATGCACGCTGCAGCCCATTCGATTGGAGCCCCTGAGAGCTCGTAGAGACAGTGCTGGTGCTACTTTTTCGGGGGAGCAGGATGTTGTCTTGTTGCAGTTACAAACCAGTCGCTGTATTTTCATGTAGCGGCAGCACAGCTTCAAGCACAATGAAGCCTTAACGACGACGGCGGTGCCCTGGGGCGGACAAGTTTGCTACATGGCCTGGCAGTTGTTCTTTTATACGCTTGGTCTTCTCCTACTGCCCCTACTTCCGCAGCTGCCCTTCTGTGGTTAGCCTTCATTTAGGGTCTAAAGTAGTGAAAGCGTACATGAGGCTTACTGCTCAGCAGCGGCCTTAGGCATAAAACGTTTTGTAGTTTATGCGTTTTCCTTGGCAGCCGCGACGGACCTGTGTATGCTGCTGCTGCTTGCGTTCCAGTTCTTCCGAATTACAGGCATGCAACCGTGACTGACATGCGCTCAGTTTGCTGTGCTTTGGTAAAACAGCGTGGGCTGCAGAACTGCCCAGTTTCTAGTGAGAAGAGAAAGCCGTGGTGAGTCGCCATCAAGATCATCAGCAGTAGCACATGCGAGCAGGAAAGCACTGTGGCACATTCATGATCCCGTGACGCATCATCACATCTTGCACCTGTTGCACGTGAACTGGCAGCGCAAACGGAATTGCCGAGTAAATGAATGGCAACTACCACGATTGTTATTGCGTTCTTGGGTTTTCGAGCCCTAGAGTTCTTGAGGAATCCGCCAATTTCTAAACCCCCCAAAGCTTTATCGGCGCTCTATTGCAGCTGTGTCAAGTACGCAAGTGCAGGTGTACTAAGGTCTGCTGTTGCCGTTTGACGCTACCCTTGCAAGGCGGCAGTCAATAAACGTGTCACTACGTATTCGCGCACACTTGGTCAGCAAGTTGGCTGAGCAGCTGGTACTTCAGGTGCTGTTTGCTCTTCGCGAAGTTCCACACAGACCTTTATCGTGTCCGAGTCTTAGTTGTTTTGCCTAGATTAGCAAGCAGGATATTGAAAGCAGAAACAATCCAAGGGCACATACTTTCGGCCTATGTGTGGGCGCATACCATTAGGTAGGGTCCTCTATTCCCCTCTTGGGCTGCACATAGCAATGTCGTTGAATTATGTGTGTGTATTAAGGAGTGCAAACTGCTTGCCTTCGGCCTAACAATACGGCAGATAAATACGATGAAATGAGGTGCCGGCGCACTGGGGATCCCCCTTTTGCTACACTCTCAAATACTGATCCTTGCAACTAATTTCTTCGGACGAAAATCCTCTAGATGTGAAATTTTCGTCATGGCGATAGCAGCACTTGTGGATCGAGGCGAGATAGTTATCCGCTGTTCCTTCAAACCCTAAAGTGCCCCTTCACTCCGCCTTTGAGCCCATGTTGCGACGCACCTGGGGCACCTGTGTGACGTGCCGTTGCCGCCCACCTTTTTCTACAGCCTGCTTTGTCTGTCCTTTCCCACAGCGCAAAGGAACCTGGGACAGCACGCTCCCTAGCTCATAAAGCTTCATTCCTTCATCATCCCATGCTATGATCCTCACATGCTGAGCCTGAAGTGTTCTGCTTTAGAGCTACATTCACAGCAGCTGCCGGTCGAACGAGCGAAGAGGTTGGTTCCAGACCCTTGCAATACCTCTTGATCACTCAGCATGCGCTGCTCTGCCCTTCACATGGGTCGTGCGACTTTCTTGAAACAGGCACTGCTGTGAACCCTTAATCCGAGCTTCTCAATTGGTAGCCACCAAAACATGGCACTTGGGGAGAATCGCTCTGAAGCGCAAGGACTTTATGCCGGGAACAAGTGCAGGTCTTAAGGCGGTGGGCGTTCAAATTCCGCATGCGGCAAATACAGCTAGTTTAGCACCTGTGAACTTTCCAAGATTGCCTATACTTGCGCCCTGCAGTCATATGCCACACACAAAACCAATGGTCTCGTTTGATTCAGACAGCAGCAGTTAAATCCTGGACTGTGGCGGGTTCCACTCCAGTACGGCATTACCCTCATAGTGTGGCTGCTCGTATCTGATCCTGCTGAAGAGTAAAAGGTTTTGTTCAATCTTCTTTGGATAAATGCTGTGCGCCTGTGTTCTAAATGCCAGGCACAACTAGCCGTGAATGTTCAGGGTGCGTAGACGGTGCGGCAACGCGAACCCTAGCTGCCCCTCTTGCCTCATGCCACAACCCTTAGGAGTATAGGGGGCAAGAGAAGCAAAGAAGTTGGCGGCACGAACTCTCACTTATTTCCAAATAAAGGCTGCTCTGTGTCTGCTGGCTTAGGTCTCTCTGTTGAAACCCTAAGCAGTGTGGGATACGATCAAAACGCACGTGCACAGTATCGGGCCAAGCTACGTTTTGAAGTGTTTTGCTACACTAAATGTATCAAAACTCCACTTGTAAAAGATTGCCTGCTTGATTTGCCTGTTTGTGTATCTTATGTACTACAAAGTTGTATTCCCATGATACAAGAAAACCCAATGTTGCATGCGTGTGTGCTAGAGGTTATGTCAAACTAGCTGTGGATGCTCCGAGTACGTAGTGGGTGCAGCTACGAGTAGTTTAGCATTCGTCCGCCTTTCTTGTTAGGATCTATGAGGGACATAACAGTATAAGAAGAGAGCTCTTCTGAAACATCCCAAAACTTCTAACAAGTTTGCACCGCCTTTGGAGTCAAGTGTCTGTCTACTAAAAGACACTGAAGATAGCTAGTGTATTCTGTCATGCTAAATGACTCGCTTACAAAATGACCATAACTTGACCACTAAGAACCACCCTAAGACATGTAGGAAGGAGGAGCTTACCGACTGCACTCATGTGCAGTATTTGTGACTAATCTCAAAAAATCCAATCGCTTAATTTGACGGTTTTACTTCTTTAGAGCAAGTTTAGATAACAATAGAATAACTGGATCTAGGTTGCTGTTTCCGCTTTCTGGCTTACAATTAGGACGCCCTCCCCCGCTTCAGACCTGGATCTGGTGCTCCGGGGACTGCAGCCACCCATGACAGTTGAGCGCCTCAAGGAAACGCTCCTAAATGCACGCGAATGTATATGAAAAGCACAAGAGAGCCAAGCACGGAATTCATATTAGTGGCGGCTCTCTGTGTAATGCTTTATGTAAAGTCTCCGCGGGGATATACCTTCGCTAGGATAACTACAGGTTTGTGAAGACGTTATTGGGTGTTTATCAACAAAAAATCAGCCTCTGAGACCCTCGCCCCTCAAAGTTGTCCATGAGCAGAGCGATACTGCTAAGATTTTCGCAGCTGCACCCTGCAGGCACTCCGAAAATTTACAGGCAGCTGCGCATAGCACCTAGCAAAAACACGCACAACATTGTCTCTTTTTGTACCATGGTAAGACTAATCTGCACTAAATAAGATAGAAAGCAGAAAAGCCAATAGGTGAATTCATTACCATTCTTAGACAGGTATCCCTAGTGTAGTAGAAAGTTTCAAAGCGTAGCTTAGCGCGGTACAGGCATATTAACGGATTTGGCAAGAACTGACAAACATAATTCGCTTGTCTGTTCGTATATCTTATCTTTTTAAGATTAGTATTATCACGATACAAGAGGACGCAATGTTGTGTGCATGTGCGTTAGAAGCCGTGTGCAACTTGGGGTGAACGCTCTGAGTGCCTAAAAGGAAAAGCTACAAGGATTTTAGCAGTCCCTTGCGTTCATGTTAGGGACTATGCCGTGTGCAGCCAGTGAAAGAACCGAAATTCATGAGAAATTCCTCAATAGCGGTCTATCTGGTATGTATAAAGCCTACAGTCAAGTGTCTCGTGACGGTGATCTAACATGGGTCGCTATCGACACAGTCTTCCCGTTTTATTATACGCTCCTCTTTCCTCGATTTCATCCCACAAGCTATGTTCTATACGGGGAGAAATTCCATCCGTAGTGCAAGTGACTAAGCCCTCTTAGAAGTCTGGATAACTGCAAATAGCCACCAAGCCCACACGCATACAGCATCGACCGTTGTGCTCAGGAACCGGCTGTGCTGCGCCAATAATAAAGCAGATGAACAGTCCACTCATGATACAAGGCATTCGTAACCCTATAGTTGGCGCATATTGGTGCAATTGTGATCATCCACTGGTACTCAAGCCGATGTAAGAGCAGGTAAGTCACACGCTAAGAGGAAAGCCGGCGTAGGCAAAGAGGTTTTAGCCAGTGAAATAGGAAGGAGCCTAATAAGGGGGAAATGAAATAAGCAACAGATGGTCTAATTATCTATTTGGGCATAAATGGGGTCAATACGACCAGAGCTAGGTGCTTTACAGAACACTGCAGGCTGGATTGCTATGGGACACCGTCTAGACCAAGTTAATTACTTCAGCGGCAATGAGAACAGTGATTCCGGCGAGTCAAAATCTAAACTTCTGTTTGTGAATATATTTTCTTTTCATCGATACTGTTTTCCCCTCTTCTCTCTCTAGGCCTCCCGCCTTTGCATGCAGTCAGCATAAGCGGTGGCTGCCTTGGGACTTCCCGGGGTCAAAGCTGTTCTCATGTGGGCAGATCCTTTTAATAGACTTTTAGTTTTACTGTATGATTTCATCTTCATGATTTTTTTGAATCGGATAGCTTAAGTCAAACTGCTTTGTTTCCTTCTAAAGCTTGTTTTTTTGTCTCGCTTGGTTTTCCACTCTATCTCGTATTTCGCCCTTCTGGGAATCCCCCAATCTCTTGAAACAAGGCACTAAACCCCAGTATCTTCTGCACCACGGTGTTTGATTAGAAGGGCTCTTCACCCTTCCTACAGCTGTTTCCTCTAGAGCGGGCAGCCTCTTCTTTTGAGGCTGATTGTGGCCGTGATTTCAGCGGGCATTATTTATACTGCAGCCTTCACTATAGGGGCACTACAGCTACTGTGCCTGTGGTATTATCGTCGGGATTAGCATCACCCAAGAAAGGCGCAGTGAACTCACACCTGCGCCGTGGTCAAGCAAGCAAGGGGAACGAGGTATATTTATTCATTAGGTTTTGCTCTTCTGTTTGATCCCCTTGATGCGAGGGCTGCCCAGTGCAGATAGGGGCCTTAATCACTTGGCTTCAGCTGCTTCTCTTCCGTGTAAAGCAGCTTTACAACGAAGCAACCAAGGAGAACATCAGTCCGGGAGGGAGGAGCGTGGAAGGTAACAGCACCACAAATTGTACAGGAAAACGAAAAGAACACTTAAAGATGGTGCGGGCATTAGAGGACAGAAAGTGCGATTTGATTGCAGCCCTAGAGTCACGCACTTCAAGTTCAAAAACGAAAAATGCGGCGCTGAAGGCTTTGAAGAAGTTTACTCCAATGCCACACAAGGACCTGGATGAGGAATTCGACCAAAGGCAGTGCAACATGAAGAAATACGTGCAAATGCAATACTTTATGTAAGGCAGCACAATCAACCACCTTCACGAAAGCGTGATGTCAAAAGAGCCACACTTCACTATTCTGTGGGCCTTGAATGCCCATGTTGGAGTGTGTCTGTGCTACCTAGACAACTAAATTAGCAGTCAGGCGATTCCGTTTCTTTACCTGTCTCTTTTGCTTGTTCGTGTCTTTTCTTTTAAGGTGCTGGAGATGTGACAAGGCGAAGGCCACAAACTGTAAAGTCCTGTGGAGCACTTCAAAAGGCAAGGCAAATTTCCTGCGCATGTATTTTCCCCACCCCCCTTTTCTTTTGATTTGCTTCCCGAATTTTCAAAGATAACGGATAAGTAGATGTGTATACAGGGACGTTTGCCGTTTTCATTTGTCATTTGCAGATTGTGTATAGGCTGCAGAAGACGTGTGTCAAGTTAACCTCATACTCAATTCCTGACAGAAGTGGCGTTCCGTCTGTTTGCCTGTGGGAGCCGCATCATCCGAGCTCTACCCGTGCATGCTTCATAAGTGTGCTCTTTTGTGCTTGTGTGCATGCAGGACTGAAGATCGTATGCCCCGCTTGCTACAATGCCTTGCTAGACTTTGTTGAGTTGCAGCGTGCAAAGAGGGAAAATGCAATTTATTTTGACTTCCAGAAAAAAAAATCGCAAAAAGGCGATGCGAAATAGAAGCTATTGCATGTAGAGGTAAAAGCAGAAGCTGCTATGAAGTATTAGTGGACGAAGGCTTTCTGGCGAAGAACTAATCGGCCTCGCTAGGCCATTTTCCATACGCGCTTCCTGAAGCCTCAGGGAAGCCGAGAAGGAATATTGTCGCCTGACTCTAAAACCTTTTCCTGCAAACGTTTTAAAAAGTTAGCTCGTTCTTCATTTTGAGCGCATCTTGCGATGTAAAGCTTGGATATTTCTTTTTAAAGGACCTCTTTCCTCAATGCATGCTCCGATCACCCACCACCGACTGTGCAGACGCGGACACCCCGCGCGAGTGTCAGTTTATTTCACGCTGTTGAACTCATGCCAATAAGAAATCCAAGGCCATCGGAATACACATGCGTATGTCAGGAACGGGGAAGTGTTGCCTCAACTCATTCACTTGGCAACTCCTGCGCTACAGGCTAGCAGGCCAGTCATGATGCTAGTTCGTTGGACGAGTTTAGGGTCATCCAACCCGATCAGTTTTCACAATGAGTTCACAATAGTTGATCTGGCAATTAGCAGCTGTACTCTGCTACCGTCTACACTCTACCACAATCGTTTACATCCAAAGACCTGTTTGCACCCCTACCCCCGTAATTTTCCCCAGCTTTCCTCCCCCTCTCCTCTCTGAAGGGGTTTGCTGCGCACCGATTTCCAGAGCACTCTACGCGGAGGCTACGCCGTCGTGGACGCTGGCTCAGCTTGTCATATAGGAGCTGCTGGCCGCTTGCCTCCACACAGGAGCTGTTGTCCACAATGCGCCTCTTGCTAACCTCCCAATGTACTGTTAGCACGCACAGCCGACCCATAAAAAGCAACCCGAAGGACCAATTTCTACGAATTCGTGCATAAGTAACAGGCGAAGTTACACGTAAACACTTCAGTTCCGCTAGTTATAACTACGCAATAGGTAAGATTTAGCCGATTGGTTTTTGCCGGTTCATGTGCATCTCTTATCTAAAGCACACTGATCCCAACTCCATAAAAGGAAATGCAATGTGTGTGTGCGCGCATATGAGCTAGGTGCTATATGCAACTATCCAAGAGTGCTCGAAAAACCTAGAGGGTGCAGCAAGGGAGGCTCCAGCAGGCCCTCTCCACGCACTTTAAACACTGTGAGGGGCGCAAGGACGGAGACGCAAAATCTTTCTGAAAATAGCCAATAACTTCCTATTTGAAATACGCATTGGTAAGTCTGAGTTAAGTGTCTCCCTACGGACACCTTAAATGGAGCTTGACTGCAGCACTTTCAGAACGGTCCGTCGGTCTTTCTCCAGCGCCACTAACAAACTCCCAATCCCTCTGGTTCAAAATAGTGGCAGAGAAAACACCGAAGCGTCAGGCGAGGAAACAGATGTGTGAGTGAGTGAAAGAGCACTGGTTACTGCCGATGCGCCGCATCACTGCGGGCTACCAGTTCGTCAGTCATCCGTTCTTGCATTTACTCGTCGCTCCACAGAGGCGCATTCGAGGCGCAAGCTACCGGAACATGACAGCGGCCAACTCGCTCGCCAACTTAAGCTCCGTCTATCTGGAAATCCAGGGAGATACAGCAGGCGCCTGTGAGGCAACTAGCCAAATCGCTGCATAGCTAGCTAGCAGCCACCACCAGTCTGCTGGACCATGGCATCAATAACATCTCCATCTTCAATGCCCAGATCCATAGGCGTCTTCTCCGGTTTGACACGCTCTCCATCATACAGAAACCGCACAGAGTCAATAGACTGACCTAGCCTGTTGCAGTAGGCCGTCATGAGCTTTTCCAGCTTTGTGCGGCGCTTGATCTTGAAGTACACCTCGCTCCCGTCCTGAGGCGCAGACAGACAGAGATACAAACTGGGAGGAACCATGCAGCGCGCACACATCCGCATGCCTGCCTCGCCACGAAACCTCTTCCTGAACAAAAAATATGAATCCTCCGGTCCGACATTCGCATAGGCCTAATTCGTTACATGGGGGGGGGGCGAAGCGCGTCCAGCTGTCGCAGAAGCGAGAATTCCCCCCTGCTTCATCCCCCAGACAGAAAGGTGGCCGCTACCAATCGCACGAGCTGCAGCTTTTCACTGACAATAGCGTAAACGGGGGGTGGGCATGAAGGAGACGCGGCAGTTGCACGGAATGTGGCCCATGTCCAACCCACCAGCCTTCTCAACCCCCCTAGTGCGTCACGCGAGGTCAAACGCATCACTGGGTAGCAACTGCCTGCCACCCACACTCCTCCCGCCACAACCTATCGCCGCTGAGGTGCCAACCCCATCAGCGGCAACCGTAGACTTCGAAGGGGAAAGCAGACAAAGTGCAATTTACCGGGGACCGGACTTTGAGCTGCATATGCTCCTTCTCGGGGTTGTCTCCGTCCTTTTTATCTTCAGACATTTTCGCAACAGGTTCAGGAGCACGAAGGGAGTGGCGCGAGAGGCAACTCTGCCTTGACGGCGCGTGCAAGTGGGGAGCGGCGGCAGCAAAGGCAGCCGCTGGAAAAGAGAAGGAATCCAACAAGCAAAAACCACTACTCCACGAAGAGTCCACCCCGGTAACACAAATAACAACAGTCAAAGAGCGCGGTCAGCCGTGCCACGCTAAAGTGCAGGAGGCGTGGCGCAGCTGCGGATGTGGCTTACACATACCATGGGACTGAGACTGCCGCAGCCCCTCCACCCCGTTGCTCCATCAGGGGACGCTAGTGCAGCTGTAGAGTTCGGATTTTGATCTTCCACTTAGAGCCGGGTTTAGTGGCAGCTTTGCTTCACAAGCCAGCAATCGAACAGAGCAAGATCAGCGGCAGACGAAAGCGGCGGAGGGCAGGCCCTAGGCAGCGCAGTCTCCTGGCTTCGGTCGTCGCTGCATTCCGTCATGCCGTCTGCCTTCTCAGCTGTTCAATAAGCGCGAATCAGACCATACGCAGTGTTTGCTTCCAGAAGTGGCCCAAGGGTTGCCAGAAGCTGGCAGAAGGCTGAGAAATTCGAGGCAGACAGCATGCTCCGGCGCACTGCGCCGGCAGCAACGGACTTGGCGGTTGCAGCTACAGTCGTTGCAAGTGGGGACAGGAGTACAATAAATCGAGAGACAGTCCTCACGCTGAACTCCACGCGTGTGCCTTGCTTCCTTAGCCTCCAGCCCCCTTTGCGGCTTCGGGGTGTCACTGCAGGTGCCTTCCAGGGAGAAAGCGAGGCGTCTTCGACGACAATCCCAGCGGGAACAGCAGGAACAGCAGCAGCAGCAGTAGCAGAAGCTCCACCGGAGGCGTCTAGCTCCGCTGTACATGAGAGGAAGGCAGATCATTCGCGCGCTTTGCCAGCTTCTGATGCTGCCTCTGAGCTGAAAGCCGCTATTGATCCCGTGGAGGTTGTCTTGCCGAACACCCAAGCGAGTGGTGGACAGTCCACAAGCATCCGATCAACGACATTCAGCAAGACTTCTGCTACTGTCTTCGAAGGGGGCACAGCTGTGGAGGAGGAAGCCATCATTGCATACGAAGAAGTGAACCTGCAAGACCTGGAGTTTGATGCCTTGGATCAGCAGTTTCTGTATCCGTGCCCGTGTGGCGATTTATTCGAGCTGACTGTGGCAGACTTGCAGGCGGCTGTGGCTGCTGCTGCGAGTCCATCTCCTGCTTTCAGCGGGTTTGCCATTGCCTCATGCCCGTCCTGTTCATTACAGGTGAAAGTTCTCTTTGAAATCGAGCAGCTGAGGCATTTGGAGCAGCATCTGGGCCTTACTCTTTTGCCCGATGGCGAAGCGTGAGAACGCGGAGTGTACCACGCAGCAGCAGTAGCATCTACAGCGGCACCGACTCGACGAGGATGGAGAGGCCAGCGGCTCCTGGAGTCGTGAAGGGTCGTCCTCCGACTTCAGCCTCTCTTTCTGAAGCTGCTTCTGCTACTGGCGTGGCAGTGGAAAGTCACAGATCCTCATCGCTCCACGGGCAGCCTTTGCAGGAGGTGAATGCCCCCTTTCCACTCTATGTCAGGCTGAAACGGCACAGGACGGAGCCACCTCCACCGTTCTTGTGCGTCTTACGACCTTCGAAGCGGCGAGAATTCGCACAAGGGGGGGGGCCAAGTTCAACCCTTTCGGGGGATACCTCTGATCCTTTGAGTCGAGCGCTTGTGTTCAAGTATGTGGATGCTGCCCCTCCGCCTGTGTCTCGATGCCCACCTCCGGTTACCCATCAGCATCAGCATCAGCAATATCAGCAGCAATATCAGCATCAGCAATATCAGCAGCAATATCAGCAGCCTGGCGAGGCCGTTCGGCGAGCATCGGAGGAGGAGGTCGTGCATGCGATCAGCGTTGAGAAGGAGAAAGAGGGAGGGTCTGTGACGAGAGGCGAAGGCGCACAGGCTCAGCTCCTGTCTTCACCGGACGTTTCCCGAGAGGAGGCCTCTTCTTCTGCAAGGGAGGTAGGCGTCGAGGAGAGTGCCACCTTCTGGAGTGCCTTCAACACACCCCTCCGTGCCGAAGTCTTTGGCCTCGCCAAGGATACCTCGGCAGCGGGGAAGGCTGAGCGACGGGGGGTAGCAGCCTTAGAGGGCGCTTATCATAACGCCATTGAAGAAGCTGTCCGAAGCCTTCGACGGTTCCGCGTGGATGGCTCCCAGCATCAGGCTGGCGAGGACCTTTCAAGCTCCTGGAACACCCAGCAGCACAGCAGTCTGCTGTTGCGCGATGGCGTCGCAACTGCCAACGTGATCGACGTGTGCTGTACGGACGGCCCCCGCGGCGCTGCAGACTCCGCGGGAGCAGGGGCAGACGCAGAGGAGTATGACTATGATCTGTATGCCATTGAGTGCGATGGCGAGGGGTATGAGGATATCCGACGAAAGGGCACGCAGGACTGTTGCGGGAGCCTTCTGGAGTCGCACAGGCGCCGTCTGTTGGAGCTGCTGCAGCAGGACAGCAGTGCCGTTGCGTTGGTGGAAGTGGAAGACGTGGATCCCGAGACGGGCACTGTCGTCCAGCGTAGTGGCGGCATGCAGTTGTTCCTTGAGGAATACGGTGACATAGATGACAGTGCCTCAGGTGAGTGTGTGTGGAGAGTATCAGCGCGCGCGAATGCCAGAAAGCGTGGCAGGCGGTGGTATGTGGCCAACATGCGCATGGCAATGCACACAGAGAGTCTGCTGTGGGTGCAGGGAAGGATTGGCAAACTGCCGCCCCGCCCTCCTGCGCGCATTCTCATGTGCTGTGTGGACAATTGTATCGATAACTGCGTGTTTGAATGCTCGGTTTTGGGATGCGTGGATTCTGATTTCTTGTTAAAGTGGATGGATAATTGCATGAGTACTTGCTATTCATTCATCTGGTGCGTGCGTGCGTGCGCGCGCGGCTCGTTTCTGGGGGTTGGGGGTCGTGGTTTGGGGGAACCCGCACACAGTTGAACGTGTGAGGAAAGCACATAGAAATTGTCTTGTGCACACGTGCGCTGCAGACGAGGGCGGGGAGATTGACTACCCGAGTAGTGAGAGCAGTGGCGACTCCTCTGGGAGAAGCCGTAGCTCAAGGAGAGGCACTTCGAACTTCATGCGTGAGGGATCAAAGTCTTATCCGGCGTGGGATTACGATGAGGACTTGGGGTGTTATGATGATGAAGACAGAAGCAGTGCTTCAGATGGCAGTGACTACTATGACGAAGATGAGTATTGAACAGCAATGAGGGTCCATGCCGGCACAACACACGCGCGGCCAAAACTTTGTGTGTTTTCGTAGCCAACACATTCCCACGCGAGGGAAAATTTTTCTACCTTTCTGAACTTGCCATCTACTCGCGGTGGCATTTTGCGGGCTGCTGGGATTGCATCAACAAATAAGTAACTAAGCTTATTCATGCGCATTGGAGGCAGCTAAGTAACTCGCGCCGTTGAGTCTAATTAGTTGAGACGTCGCGTTCTCAGGCCGTCAACAGGAAAGCAGAAACGAATCAGGGGTGTTCAAAGATGCCTATTTAATAGAAAGCCGCTCGATCGATGCGCGAAGTGCGTGCAAGGAGAAAAATCTTCTTGTTGATCAGCATCAGCGAAACTCAAGTGGCAGGCCGGCATACCCGAAGAGAAGCCCTTTTGCTCTAGAGCAACTGGCAAGGGGCTTAGGCCAAAGAAGGAGGCACTTTTTAGCAGACGCATGAGTGATGCACTGTTCAATACATAGTGGATTTTCCCAATAGGAGCACGTGTTATCCTAAGTTTAAGTGCAGGGTTGAGTGCGAGTTGCATGATGCTGCTTGTATTCGCGTTCGTGCTTTTTGGCGCTGATGGTGGTGCTGTCTAGGCGTGCAAAGCAAAGGCAGGACTACCGGCGTGAAGCGGACTACCCATGTAAGCATTCCTTTATAAAAGGATGCTTCAGCAAAATGCTGGCGTTGACCCTTTCATCCGGCTTCCACTTAAGAAGACTCGTAATGATTTGCACCAGGCTTTTGTCTCTGTCGGAAAGAGAAATGGGGGGAATGGCAACCACGATGTATGGATGTACTCACTGCGGTGGGCAAAACGCATGCAGCACATCTTGTAAGTTCAAAGGCTCAGTGTTCCGCATTCGCCTGAGTGCCTCTTTTGCCAGAACCTGAAGAAGAACGAAATCAAGCAACACAAGAAAAGTGCACCCAATGCTCATGCCCCGTACAGCAAGGCAAAACCAGGTGGGCGGCTCACTCGTGTTGTCGGCCGGCATCCAACACAAAGGCTGTTAATTTCTTCCCTAAATCAATTTTAAACATAATGAGAAAGTATAAGAACTGCGTTTCTTGAATCTCAGCCCATTGTGGTGTTTCCGCGTTTTTCGCACTCATTCGGTGATCCAAGAAGCTCTACGAGCGCCATCAGCTGAAACACTTCAGAAGCGAAACCACTCTCTCGGGTATGCTCCGCAGGTTTTGCCTGAGTGCAAAATGGTACTTCGCATTCCAGCAAAGGCCGCAGACAAATAAGCTCGGCAAGGAGACATCCTAATGCTGAAAGACGTGCAGAAATGTGCATACGAGACCACTGAATCTATCCCAGCACCAGCAGGGATGAGGATGCTCGGAAATTATGGGTTTCGCTTTCGGCTTTGTTGTCTTACACCAGAGATCCACGGCCATCTACATTAAAAGAGACATCAAAGCAAATGCCGGAATACCTACATTCATGCACTGGAGTAGTTTTTGCTGAAATTATTCTCACTGAATATTGAGTCGCGCCCAGAAGTAATTCAGGTGCTCTGTACCTAAAAATGAACACATTGTTTTTCTGAATTCCTTATTAGGTGCTGTGCGACTATTTATTTTAAATTGCCACTCTACGGGCCCCACCATCTCGAGCAAATGTATGGCATGGAATGTTCGTCCTTGTAGGTTAGCCGCTTGCTGGAGCCTGATAATTTTGTCTGTCTTTGGGTTTCTCGCAGGCAACAGCAGCATGTATACCCATATCGCATATCCGAACGGTCATTGAGCCGTTTGGTTTGTCATCAATCTAAAAGGAAATGGAATGGCTGGTTCCTATTTGCAATAGACGAGAGGTCCACGCAGTACCAATACATTTTCTGGCTTGAGGTCGCGATGGAGGATCCCCCTAGAGTGCAGCTCGTATACTCCGTGAACAATTTGGCTAGCCATGTGGCGAATCCATGGAAAAGTATTGCCTGCAGAGTTATCTGCCCGACGTTCTTTTCTAATCTTTGAAAGAAACGACTGAAGTGAACACCCCATGTACTCCATTAGAACGTTTTGCACTGTGAAGCCGCCGGGCGTCGTTGAGTAGAAAATTGAATCAGCGGCTACCAACGACGCGGATCCGCGGCTCTCTTCCATGCAAAGAACTTCCCTAGAAGCTGTGCGCTTCCATTTTTGTGTTCTTTTCAGCGCTTTTAACTTTCCGGTGGAGGTGTCGCGTACGAGGTACACTTTCCCAAACGTCCCTTGACCCAGCAATTTTTCAACGTGAAATTGTGGGCGTATACTTCGAGCTTCATTCGAATATAAGATATCTATAGCCGCAGACATATTTGAAGGTCTTTTAATGATTTTTAGTCAACACTGAGCAGGTTTAAGGTGAATTGAATTCATGGTACTACAGCAAACCGATGAGCAGGTCAGGGCTCCCCGGTGTATCGACCGAGTTGCGTGCGATTGATCTCGACATGCACCAAGCATTTCCAATGACAATAGCATCAATTCTAAAAGTCGCTCGTTTAGCTTGCGAACGATTGTAAAAACAGAGCTACGTGCCGTGCCATGCAACTGCCTCTTAAAGAAAATGTCGCCCAGTGGTATTCATAGGTAAAGCGGCTCAAATAATGACGACAGTTCATAAGTAGCTACCGTAGGTGGCTATGCCGGTTTGCACTTGTAGCTTTTATTTGTATGTGCCCTTGCATTCGGTGATATGCGTGCTACGTGGCCAGTCTCATGGAGTTTGCAGAAATGAACCGAGATAGGGGCCCACAGTGTTTCGTGTTATAAGCTTCGGCGTTCGCATTTAAAAAGTAAAATCAAATAATAGAGCAAGCGATAGAATTCAAGAATTGTGGCGCTGAACTTTCAGATCAAGGCAGCGTTTCCCCTACCAGTGGTTGCAGTATAGGCAAATCCAGTGGTCTGCGTGACACTGACTGAATAGACCCGTGGTCCTGTTCCATTGCACATTATACGATGTGTTGATCGCGAACTAAAAACAAATAAGCCGTATGATTTTAAATGGTGGAGAATGTTCTGTCTAAAGACGGCGAAGATAGCGCGGACGATTGCATGCTTTTGCAGGGCTCCCCCGCATCGATGCTGCGGACTGCTTTCAGTTTTTTGTGCTTCGGCCTATGTCTTCTTCAAGGTATATGGCGTAGAATGTTCGTTTTATACTGCTGTATACCAGATGTGTGTGCTGGATCTGGGCTTTCTACGCAGTGGCGCGTCAAGCCCAGCTTGTAAAAAAAGTGTTCAGTGTTTCCTCCTTCGTGCAGGAGCCAATGCGGCTGAAACTATACTGCTGCATCATTTGCATTCCTCGGGCTTGGATTCAGTAAAACAATATATTGGAATATTGAACAAGCCACCTGCACGTCTCCTGTTCTTCGGTCTGAGATGCAAGCGCATGTGGCATCTGTGTTTGTTTAACCTGCTGAATGTCTTCATTGGGATACGTGAGGCTAAGGATGGGGGAAAGACGTGTGCGTTACCAGACCGCGGATTACTCTTTCATGCTAACTTCAAGTTTGAACTCACCGAATGCAGCTAAGCTTATTTCTGCAATTGCTGCCCTTTTGCACAACCAGATCGATGCTGACGTGAAAAAGCCAAGAAGTGAAAATCCAGAATTTATGGTCTTTGACGAAGACATGTATCTCGAAGGTTCGTGCCTTTAGAAAAAAAGAGATATTGTTAAGCTTAATTGATTACTCGGTGAAGTTGGAGAGGCCGTTTTTTCTCCCGCTTGCCACTTCAGCCTGATAGAGTTTGTAGGCGAAACAATTTACGCCGTACTTCCGCAACTTACTCTCGCTACTATATAGTCGTTCTCTGAGGCGTGACTTTTTTCTTTTTGTGAAGGTACTGACGCGGGTCAAGAGAAGCTACACACCTGCCCAACAGTAGAGGAAATAGTTGACTTCTTTTCGGCTCTTTATGATGCTGCTCAGTACTCAGCGGAATGCAACGTTCTGGCCCTTTTGTACATCAACAGACTCATAGCCTTCTCGGGTTTAACGCTCAACAAATCGAATTGGCGCCCAATAATTTTCACTGCTCTACTTATTGCACAGGTCAGCGGGAAATTACAGAATAATTTATTCCATGGCAGCTTTAGAATCGTTTCCCACCCAAGAAAAGTGCATTATCATGTATTAGTACGAACTCAGATGCAGCATTGGCCTATCCCATGTTGTTGCATGTGCTTGGCGCTTTTCAGAAGGTGTGGGATGACAAGCTGTTATCTAACGCTTCTTTCGCTTTTATATATCCGTTCTTCACTCGGGAGGAGATAAACAAACTCGAGGCAACTTTCTTAGATCTACTGCATTTCGAGGTGGTCGTAAGGCCGTCCATCTATGCCATGTACTATTTCGAACTCCGAGCGGTACACGAGGTGAGCCTGTTCAGTGAGCGCCCTGTAGTTGACACTTTGGTATTTCTAATTCGCAGCCCTGGCAGTAGCGTACTTATCTAGAGAATCAGCAAAAATAAAGTGCGAATAACCAATTCGCATTAAGCCGTTTTTGCATAACTCATCTCATACTGTCGTCTTGAAGACATGCACAACTAACGAATACCCGATCTTGCTAGCAGTGTACGAATGCTGGTGTGAGACAGCAAGCACAGGCCGGGTGCAGTCGGCTGTGCGTCTGCCTATTTACTTGTCCTCCTTCGTCAGAACCCAGCCAATTTTCTCGAGCCACTTTCTTCCGAGTCTGCTCTTGCACTTGAGGAAAGATCTCGCCGCTTCCAACAAACGGCACATCAGCAGTTCTTGGAATGCAAATCCATGACGATGATCTAACTTAAGCTTGTAGAGCAGCTGCTCTTTTCTCAGTACACTAGATGGCCCGAAACAAGGCTTGAGGCCTGGAGTTGTGGTCTTGGGGTGTGCACCTCAAGTACAGGTGGCTTTGTTTTATAAAGAGTGTCACAGTCTTGGTGAGAGTCGATGGGGAATGGAAATTCCTGTGATTTACATCTAAGCAACAATAGCTGTCATACGTTGGAAGAATTTCCCTCATCTACTGGGAGGATGCTGGACTGCAGTGCCGTGAGCACTTCAGGAAGTACCTGCTCAAGAGAGGAGCAACCAACATAAGGCGACAGAGTCCCCTGAATGTTTATTTGATATTCAGTGGCTTTGCCTATGCTAGATCATACGGTGCATTTTGGGATAAGTGGGTTACTCGCAGCTCGTAGTGCCCTTCAAATAGTCCCTAGACCAAAAGCTGCCTGCGTTGTTTGTTAGTCACGCACGAAGCAGGGTGGCCGGGAGGAGGAGTAGCAAACAAAAAGAGCAAGTGGATTAAAAGGAAAGAACTTACTTCAGCCTGCATCCAACTCGGTTCCGGGAGAGACAACGAACGGAGAAATGGCGGGTTCCACTGCTTCGCTTTATACAGATGTCCTGCAAAGCCCGAGGAAGGGAATAAGAACTAAGTTCAAGCTTGAGATCCCTCAGACTGCCTCATCGGTACTTTCAAGGCTTTGCATTCTACATCGAGGTTTGCTGGCGTAATTACAAGGCAATTCATGCAAACCCTGGTAACGCTCCCTAGCCCAGGTGCCTTATCCCGAGGTGCCTGACGATATGCCCGTTCCCCAGCCGCGCTTTTAACTGTTTAGAGTGCAGCTTGGCGTCGATATGCCTCTCTAAGGCTCTGTGCAGGACTCTAAAGGTGGAACACTGCAGTGAGGAATGCATGTAAAAAGTTGCTGAAAAGTTGCGCTTCGCGAAATTCTGGAAACCCACCCCGCAAGGATACGATTCGCTTTATTAGTGCCTCAAGTTGTTTTTCGCCCACTAGGGTTCATACGCTTACCATAGTCGCACAGCACGGTGACGATGGTGTGACCGGGTCCTAATGCCTTCGCGAGGCGCACAGCGCCTGCCACGTTTAGTCCAGAAGTCATTCCCAAGGGCAAGCCTTCCTGCAAGAGAACACAGCAACCGAACGAGTTACATTCGCCGCAAGTTCAGGGGCAGGGGCCTCTGTACCGGGCAGAAATTTTAGAGCCTCCAAGATGCAGCAGCTGAGCTAGTGAGGATGCGCGCTGGTCGCTTGCCCCTGGCAAAAACGTTAATGGTTTGAGCTCTAGCGCTATCTGTCGGGAGGGTGGGTGCAATCGGGGGTATGAGACGCAGTGGTTAGCTAGCCGACGCTTCAGGACGCATTTTTCGGGACAGGATGCAACAGGTGTTTTCCTCTTCGAGGTACAGAAGCGCAGTCGCCAGTGGCAAGTGTTTGTAGGGCTGGTGTGGAGGGTCCTGCCTCTTGAAGAAGGCGGTGAGTCCATGTGAGCACTTCTGCATCCGGAACCTCGCATGCGAAATCCGGAGAAAAATCTTTGAGGTTGCCGGTCACGCGGTTTTGTCCTGCGCAGATACATATACATATATGCATATATGTATACGCGCAAATAGGCGCTGTTTGAATAACATGCATGAATTTCCTGTTGCCGATCGCGCATGTCCACGAGATCATCCCGCAAGTGTGCGCCGTTTAGATCGCCATGTTTGATTGCACTTGTTGCCTCTGCGGCTGCGTGAGATTGACTTGCCCACGTTCTCCACAATAGAGGTTCCCTCTGCGTCAAGCGTCCCTGTGGTGTAAAGTCGGAACAGCCCGGCTCCCTGGATGTCGGCAATGCCAATGCAAGGCCATCCAGAGGCGACCAAGTGTGCCAGACGCTTCTCCGTGACAGATTTCGAGGTTGGCAGGTGGATGTCGCGTGTGCAGTGTATGGATCCCTGTTTTGCAGATCCTCCTTCTGCAGCGAGACTGCGCTCCGGCAGAGGAGCGTCTGAACAGGCTAACGGGTAAGGAGAAGGCGACTTTAGGAAGGGCAGTTTCTCCTTGTCCGGTGCTCTCCTGCCGCGCTGCAAGCAGCTATTCAGCCGAAGGCGAGAAGCAGTTCCCACCAGAGTGCCCCCTGTGCCAGCTGCACAAATGAACCCGTGTATTCTTCCTCCTGTTTGCTGCCTGAAAAAAGCAGATGACGCTGCTGCCGCGGTGCGTGTCAAAGCAGACAGGATCGCTTCGACGGTATTGGCCTTTGCGGATGCGCATTCGGGCTTTACTTTTACACTCTGTGGGTGCTTCGCTAATGGCAAAGAATCAGGCAGCAGTCCTTGTTTAAGCACTTTTTACTTCCTTAGGATGGAAGGGGGGAGTTGACTCATAAAGTACCAGATCTCTTGCCCAGTTGTCTCAAAGTGCGCCTGTCGATTTGCCTGCGGAAAGCCAGAGGAGGCCACTGTTGCATGCACTTCATGCCCCCAAGCGCCCCTTTTCCTCGATTTCCCCGCAGCGCTTAGCCCAGACAGCACCCCAGCCCTAAGCGTGCTTTACAGACGTTCCGGATCGCAAAATGGAATTCCACAGGAGCCAAGATCGAAGCCTAAAGTCGCTGTCTGGTGTCTCAGAATCTCAGTACAAGAGGTCGTGGAGTGCCAACGAAAAACAGCAAGACAACCAGGCAGCACCATTCGCAGCAGCGGCACTCAGCAGCGACACAGCGGCGGGAAGGAAGAAGCAGCGGCGGCTTGCCTGATTGTCAAACTGCCCACAATAGAAGCCGCCTATAGTGCTGGCCAGTCGCTCAGCGATTTTCGTGTAATGGTTGGGATGTGCTACTTTTTGGAAGGGCACGCGCAACACCACGGCACCTAAGGTCATCAGCAGGTCCTGCAAGAGCAAAGCAGGCAGCCGAGTCGCAGAGGCAGTCCGGGGGAGTGTTGCCTCTGCGTGGAGGGAGAAACGCATGCAGCCTCAAGTGTACCTTCTTTTCTTCTGTTTGCGTGTCAGGCATCACGCAGACGACCCGATACTGCTTTGCCTTGGCGGCAAGTGTTAAGGCAATGGCGGTATTCCCAGCCGATGCCTCCACCACCCAGCCGCCTTGCTGCAGCTGTCCTAACAGCCGAACAAAGAAGCCACACAACAAGGTAAGAATAGTTTGGCGTTCACACGCTACACTGTGTGGCCTGGCCGCTAATCTGCTAAGAACGTTCGACCTAAGCTGCACCGGCGGCGTGGTGCCCGTCGGCGCAGAACGAAGGGCAACAGGCAGTAGGTCAGGGGGGGCGGGAGGGGGTTGCTGCGGCGAGAACGAAATAGCTCTCTACTTTGCTAAGTCTCACTGGGGAGGCGGAGAAGCCACTACAAAACGATCTACTTTGGGCTACTCCCACCCACGCCTTTTGTGCCTTTTGCTTTCGCGTGACACGGAAGTGCTGGCTGCCTTGCCTGATCTTTCTGCCCTTTGCAGCATGTACACTGCAGGCCGGTCCTTAACGGACCCCCCAGGATTCAAGAATTCGCATTTCCCCCAAATGTTGCAGCCAGTCTCTGCCGAGGCCCCGCACAACTTGAGGAGAGGCGTCTCGCCGATGGCCTCTCTAAAGCCTCTACAGACTCGCAGGGGGGAAGCCTGTCTTCTTGGCAGCTGCTCACGACGAGGGTTAGCAGAAGAAGTCAAAGGGACGGCTGTGCTACAAGAAGAATTCGAAGGGCTAGCTACCGATCTCACCGTAGCTGCTGCCTGCTGGAGCCCTTGGCGGCACTTCTCCACGAGCCTTCCCAGTGCCATTGGCAGTGGCCTGCGTGTTTGCACTCCGACAGAAGTGCCTTTGCCCCTCCGGCTTTCTCTGTGCTCTGCCGTAGGCCGTGTGCCTCCTGAGTTTGTGAGGCTGACAGGCGTTGAATGCCGGTTATGCAAGCTGAGATGCTCTAATGTGCGTAGATCTACGGGTCCACTATGACCCAAAAGGGCGATTCGCTGTGGTGAAGGAGCCTCTGACGCGGTGTAACAAGATGCAAGCAGGCGCGGCAAGCAGTTGACGGAGGACACAGTGGCTTTTCTTCGTGAGACCTTCTACAAATACACGAGTAGAACGGCTTTAGGAGGACGAACAAAACACTGTGGTGGCAAGGGAATGGTGTAACATGGGGGACTGTAGCGCCGGTGCCGACTAACTGCGGAGCCGACAGGACGGATCATTGCTTCAAGGGATACCCCGAAACACGGAAGAGGGCGTTTTCTTCTCAGATCACATGAATTAAGTTGCACATAATGGCTGAATTTCGCTGATAATAGTTCTTGTAATTCATTTGCTCCATTTCTATTAATGTAGCTTCTGCCTATCATGCTCCTCATGCGTTGTAACACACGCCGGGCCACGTGCATGCGGGCTGTACATACACCTCACAGCCCGTTCTGGAATTTAGTCTTCCCGTTGAGTCAAGCCCTTTAATTCTATATTAGTTGCTCGATGCGCTCTGAATGGCTCTTTGTACCAGCTCGTTGCGGCCTTACCGGCTACCGGAGGCGTAACATCTCGCTTAAGCCGCGCAATCGCTCTAGTGGCAAAGGAACGGGGCTTCAGAGCACGCTGCAAGAGGCCATACCTACCATTATTAAAGCCTAATGTTTCGTGGCCTCGTGTGACGTCTGCTTGCTTTCTTCTTCAGGGCACCAAGCTTCCCTGGGCTCAGATTTTTAAACTTCGATCCCTTCTGTCCCCCTTACCGCACGTTGATTCTGACGCCAGGGGCGTCACCACAGCGCCCCTTTCTTTCCCAATGGCCGTGTAGCCTCATCTTCGCATCTTAGGGCCTCTGTCCTCGCCTCTGTCTGCACCCGCCTTTCCCCCTTGTTCGTTGTCGTAAGATGGAGCTGGAGGAGATCATAAAGCCGTACAGCTTGGCCCCTGAGAGGAACACGACGCGTCCAGCTTCCGACAACCCGCAGGGGATCCCCAGCAGTGCGAAGCGTCACCAAGTGGATCCCAATGCCCTTTCAGGCGAGGCCGGGGGCGTCCAAGGGAAAGTTTCTCTTGAAGATTTACCAGATGAAATCGACACCAGTGCAGTCGAGAAGATCCTTGAGCAGGCGGACGAGGTGCGAGCTTGTCTTCAGCACTTAGGAAGCACGCCTTTACAAGGCGTGGCTGGCGAGAGGGTAGCTGCGGCAGAGTTCGGTAGAGTGGTGCTTTCAAACAGAGGGCACGAGCAGATGGCCGCACCGTCACTCACAAGGTTTTTCACATTTGCAAGGCGTATGGTGGCAGCTTGCGTATAGAGAGATAGGAATTTTGTCATAAAAGCCCCTATTTCCTTGCTCGCGAGGCTTCGTGCATGTGACCAGTCGGATACGCTGTACCTGCCACCATGGCTCCTGTTCGGTGTCGTTGTAGGTTCACGTCGAAGAAATAACAGAGGCCTCCATCAGACGCTGCGCCGCTCAGCTGGAACGGCGCGTAAAGAAAAACCAACATGACAGAATCAAGTTTGCTTCCAACCCGGAAAAGTGCGTGCTGGGGTAGGGGGATGGACTATCTGCTCGTGGCGGCTGTTTCAATCTGCGTCTCATGACATCGGCAGATGACTCTTTAGGCTGGAGTAGGAAATGCATGACAGTGGTGCTGTCTGTTTGCACGCCAAGTATCTTGGCATTTCACAGGTTTGCGCAGTCCCATAGGCGTTTGTATCGAGTGTAAAACAAGGTTTTTGTCTGTGCGTTTCTCGCCTTCGCTGTGCAGATGGATTAAGTCTGAGGTTGATTTAGATGAGGAGGTGAAGCGCTGGACTCAAGTGGCTGCCGATCCCTCCCTGTTCCCCCTGTTGTTCGAGTCTGGAGCATTTGAAGTACTTACGTCGCTGCTCTCTCACGCCAATACCGACTTGGCGGTAGACGTGGTTGAAGTTTTCAGCGAACTGACAGAAGCAGACAGTGTAATGGAAGCTCCCGATCCTCAGGCCGTTGTCGACCAATTGGTGAGCTTAGTAGAGGGACCCCTCCGATGCGCGCTTCCCACACAGCTGGATGTATTGCGTTGTGTTGTGTGCTGTCAAGCACATACATGTGTACACAATATCTCTGGGAAGCGTTTCGCCTTTGCGTGCTAAATCCACATTTTGTGGATGTGCAACCCCCCCCTTTTGCAAAGCAGCATTTTTCGCTTTGGGGGCTCAGAGTGAGTAACGATGGGATACGGGCAGGGGCAGGGCCTTCTATATATATATATATATTATGTATATATTATATAAATATTATATATATATTATATATATTATATAAATATTATATATATATTATATATATTATATAAATATTATATATATATATATATATATATGTGTGACACGTATATGGAGTTGAGTTTTTTCTGGGCCGTATGCTGCTTGTGCTGCCGTGGATAGGTGGGCAGCCATCTGCCGGAGATGGTGGTTGACTTGTTGTGTCGCCTGAAGGAAGGTGAGGGGCACCAGAGCAGAAAATGCGTAGCCTTTTGCGCCACAAGGAGCGGATAAAGAGGGGATCCTAGACAGACAGATGTATAGGAAGGGGGTGGGTGGGCTTAGGCTCTTGAAGGTTTTCTTGTTTAAGAACGGCCTCGCAGCGACGATGGGGCGTAGAATGGTGTGGGTGGTGGTGTGTTTATTAGCGTATGTTTCGCCTTCTGTAGCGCGAACAGCGTGTCGCTGGGCTGGTGCTGCGTAGGATGCCCACTGCGGCAAGCGTTGGCTGTTTTCGCACATATTCTTGCTCCTCCTTGTGTAGTGGGGGTAGTGTTTGGAGCTGTGTGTCTGTGTGTGTGTTGCCGTGTGGATCTGCAAGCAGACGGCAGCGAAGATGACGCCTTAGGCATTAGCAGCTGTCTGTCGGTTGTGGAGAACCTCCTGGAGCTACAGCCCTCCCTTGCCACCACATTTGCGCAGGCGCAGAAGCTGCCTGCTTTTCTTTTTAAGCGCATTCGTCCGCCTCCAGTGGCTGCTGCTGGCTCTGCGGGAGCGGTGGGAGGCACTGCGGGGGGGGGCGGTCGCGTAGGAGTCAGCGCGTATGTGACGGACGGCACGCGATTGCATGCGGCAGAGGTTCTGGCGTCTTTGCTGCAGCAGCTGCAGCCGCAGGAGAAAACGCAATTGGGAGGCAGAACAGGGGGGGACGGCGTGGACAGACTTCTAAGGGCTGTTGCACCCTACCGGAAGAAGGATCCAGAAAGCGCGCAAGAGGTAAGGAGTAAAAGCATCCGTAGCCTCAAAGAGGAACTGGAAATATGGAATTCTGGAGGGGAGGCGAGGGGTAGGGGGGATGTTGGGGGATGTTGGGCACGTGAGGGGCCTAACTGGAGGGGTGAGCGGCGAATACACGTAAAGCTTGGTAGAGGAAATGATGGCACTCAGTAGATGCAGATAGCCCTGTATTGGTAACGTGATACGATTTTGGCTGGCTGGTGCGCAAGGAAGGCGTTTACCGCTTCGTTTTTCGCAGCAGCTTAGGAAGGCCTTGTGACAGTAGGATCTGCGGGATAAAAGATGCCTTTTGTGTGAATATCTTTTGGCTTCGTATAATCGATCAGAAAGTGAAGCGTTGCGAGGGTGTGCTAGCAGCGTGTTGGCTGTTGTTTCTGTATTAGTTGAGGGGCGCCCGCGATGTCATACGATTTATCTGCGCGTGTTACGATTGTGCATGACACGCATTCCTCAAGTCTTGTGCCTCCTGCCTCAGGAGGAGCTCGTATTAAACCTTTTCGACGCTCTATGCAGCCTGCTCCTGGTGTAAGCCGCTTTCTCGCCTCTTTTGCTACAGGCGTTGATCCAGCCTAAGGTGTTGCAGCTTCGTGGGAATAGACTCGAGGGCGAGGCCATGCTGCTGATAGCCTGCCGTTTTGCCTTCGACCTTCCACAGTTGCGCCTCTGTGTCTCGTGTGTTTGCCTGTCCGCTGTTTCAGTGAGTCGAACAGAGAGCTTCTTGGAAAGCAGCAAGGCGTGGAACTGATGTTGCGTATCATCAAGGAGAGAAGGTGTGGTGCCTTGGACTGAATCTTTTGTCTGGTCTTCTTTCCACGGCACCATATGATCGTGCTTCGAAAGAGTCGCTTCCGTGTAGAGGGTTGGCATCTACACTGCAGCAAATGCCTTTCTTTCTTGGACTGCGCATCTACACTACAGCAATGTTATAGGCATATAGAGAGCCTTGACCACCCCAATCATCAGGCGCTCTACAGCAGGAGCAGCACAAGCCTTTAGTTCACTCCGACAGGCTAGCACACCTCTTGAGTGGATTTCTTGCCCTATTGCGTGTATCCCTTTATCATTGTTATCCCCGCGTTCGTACCATCCTCTCTCTCGGCGTTAGTGTGTCTGCATGTTTAGTGTGTTTTTTCGCCCGGCTCTTTCCCTTCCTGCACCTAATGTGGAGCTCTCTGACGAACTCCGTGTTCATATGCAGGTTCTTCACTCCGCAGGCAGTCAAGGCACTCGACTTCGCGCTGATGGATTCGCCTGCCAACTGCGCAACTTTTGTCGAGCGGCTTGGTCTGCGATTCCTCTTCTCTATGTTCCTCGGAAAGGTCAAGGAAGGAGGGCATAAACCGAAGAAGCCAGATGATCTTATTGGTGAGGATCCTAGGCCAGTCGGATTTCAGATGATTAGTCTTTAGATTTTACAGTCTACACCTACGGAAATTCGCACCGTTCACGTTGTAGCATGCACTGCCAACGCGCACCAAACAAACTGAGTTTCACATTAAGTGACAGGAATGGGATCAACTTGTTAGCCAGATTTATGGAAGAGGCGTAGGCGGGCTGCCGTCTGCCACTTGTTCTTTTGGAAAGACTCAATACGAAATAGCGCAGACGGCATCATAATCTGTCAAGCAAGAACGTACGACGTTTCGGGTTTGGAAAATAGCGCAGTTGCCGGTTTTTTTGCTGCGCTCCAGAACATGTTGTGTCGCTTATTAATTCTCTTCTGAAGAATTGCACAGGCACTCCAATCGGTGCGTTGCCTTTTTAGCTGGTAAAAGTAGATCACGCCTGTGAAGCTCTGAGGTGTTGGGGCAAGGGTAAAACTGTTTTGCATGTTTCTGAAGGGCGTCGTTTGCGATGAACTGTGTAAACGTGATCATCTGCGTTTGCGCTTTTCTAACGAGTTTAAGTGCTGCAAAGTAACTCATGCCCAGCCTAAGCTTTTATTACAATCATCTGACGAAGTGTAGAGTGGGGTGGTTCATTCGCATTGCCACGCTCCCCTGGGCCCTCTAAAAGCTCATATTGCATTGTTGCCGCCTAGATATAGCCCAGTTTTGTATTTGATGTTCGCATGTTGGTGTAATTCTTGTTGCCTGCCTTGTTCTATTTGCACGTCTACTCGGCTTCTGGGTTTGTCTGGTTTTTGGTTTATGGTGTTGCTAGTTTGCGCTTGCTGGGTGACCTTTCCGCTCCATGTATTAGCTCCGTATCCTCCACGGCTTTTTGCATTGCTTTCTTTTGTTATTATCTGTACTATTTCTGCCTGTTTATTTCTTTCCTTCTCTAGCTCGGGTATTAAACAAGTTTCAAGAATGCGGCTTTGAGAAGATCGAGCGCCTGCTCGAGTTACGGGAGACATTCGCCTCGCGCGCAGGAAAATCGAAGAATAAAAGCCAACCGAACGAAGAGCTGCAGGAAATCAACAAAGAGGCAAGAAGCAACCAGGGAGAGGAGGGACAGAGAAATAGGAGAGACACACTGTAATAGATTTCAGGACGCGCGGTGATTACATCCTATTTGACTCCTGCTTTTTATCCTTGCAGTTTTTCCTTCCCGATTACTCAGTAGCACCTTCCATTTTTGTACTACGAGCGATGCATTGTGCTTTTTCTTAGCTAGGAGTAGACCCGGAGGAAAGGCGCTACCTAGACGCTTGTGAAGCCGGGCTTTCGGTGTTGCAGCAGATAGACTGCATCATTGTCAGACTGACGAACGCAGGAAATGCTATGGCAAGTTCTACTTCTTTTTCTTCCCAGTCATCGTTTCTATGAGTGTGTTCGGCGTCTGTTCGCCTTTATCGTTTTAGTTTACGCCTTTGCACGTGTGCGATGGTTTTCTTCGTTTGAGGCTTTGGAATGAATTGAGGCTGCAAGCTCTGTTTGTTAATTGCACTACTTTCCGGCTACCGGTGCTCGACTGCTCATACATGGTGTTTGGTCGATTGCACCCGTCTTTCCCTTGTGAGGCTTGCGCTAGTGGATGTTATGCTTTCTCGATCCAAGTTTCTGCAAGTGCCTTGCCTCATGTAAACTTATTCTTCTTTTTGCTTAATCTTTGCCTGCACTTATGTCCCTGCGAATTGCCCTCAGGTGCGAATGCGGCTGATGGATTTGATGAAAATGAAGAATATAGACCACTGCAAGATTGAAGCAGTCCTTCGAGGTCCGTGCTGCACAAGATCAAAGTAGACGTTTTCGTGCGAGATATGTTTCAGTTCACTCTCCTTTCGTCACACATTTTTGCAAAATCACTGGAAAAATCATTTCAATACAATTTAGAAGGTAGATCATATCTTTCGTAGACAATTTGCGGTGTCTCGTACATTTCATGGATCCTGCTTCTTATTGCGAGATGCATTTCCTGTTTCTTTCCTGATGCATGTTTTCCATTTCTGCCCGAGTGATAGTGCTACATGTCTTTGATTATTTCCTTTTGTGCCGTCTTCGTTTCATCCTTTGAACGATGTGCGCAGAGTTTGCAAATCACATGGACGAGCGGGCTTCGGCTCAGAAGTTGGAGCTCTTGAGTTTGGCGAAATACTTTGACGAGGCTTGGAACGCGCCTGATGAGGAGGAGGAGGAAGAAGAATAGGATGAGGCGGTAGAAGACATGAGGGATTCAGATATAGGAAAAGAGTGGAGTTGAAAAGAACAGGAAGAAAACTGAAGAGATAAGGGGATTGGGAGCCGCAGATGCTGCGAACTATGGCGATTGTCGGCTTCCTGGAAGCTTTAGAGGGACTGCACAGCTAGGACTGATGGCCTGCCAAATTATTGCGCACTGGAAGGAGCGAGAGGAGGAAAAGTGGAAGCCTAAAAGAATAGCAGCAAAACATAATTCTGCTGCTTCACGAGGCTGATTTGTTGAAGTTGCAGGCTTGCCTTCATCTCTTTGATCTAGCATCTTTCTGAAAATCGTTGCATGCCGATTGGTCAATTAAAAGAGGAGCGCTGGTATCAGAGCTGCTGCTGTTTCTTGTGCTTCTGGTGTACACGCTTCTCATCTCAATAAGGTAAATATATCTTGTGAGTTGTTTTAAATAACTAGGTGTACAGTGTCGTGCGCAGGTTTACTCGTACTTCTATAGGCATACTAAAGCTCAATTCTAAATATCGAATTTGGCGCATTAAAGTACGAACGCTAATGGCTCTTCTGAAAACAACCGTCATCTATGATCATAAAATAATCTGCCTGTAGTTTGCCTCATGGGTATACACCGACAGAACGGAGTATACATTTGGGGTTAGGAAAATCAGCGCGTTGGATTTCTCCGTGTAGAAACAAAGCTATCATGCCACTTGAATGGGCGGAAACTTTGGCAGCAAATATACGCCGCGTTTCACAGTTTACCTAATTGATAGATCCCCGATGCTAAGTGGCGACACAGCAACACGCTACCCACACAAGCAGGCCCTTATCTCTTCGGTACAATAGCACCATCAGTACTGCTCGTTTATGCACACCTCATGCTAACCCGCCACTGGCTTTCATAGACCATGGGCTTCATTCTGCTTATGTAAGATTGCGAAGCAGCAGGCTAACAGCCACCTTTAGGCATTTGGTTGACCGCGGAAACTCTTTGACGCTTTGGCTCTAGTCAGACACCCGTCTGCCAGAGGTACACATGTATAGGGCATAGCGAGGCGCAGCAAGTTATAGGAAGGTAACAAGGTCGCATTTGCATAGGCTAAATGAGTGGCTTTCCCCCGAATAACCTCTACATTTAGCCCAGGTGTCCTAGATGTGGCACATTGAGACATGAATGCACCTTTTGAGAACCTAACACTCCAAAAAGACTAGCCATAACTACTCAAGCAACAGAGGGAGCTCTGCATGGCTGAAGCGTCCGTCAGTCACCTTTTTTGCATGAATAAACCTCTGTTTATACGCGACGGAACTGAGCTACAGACTGACGGGTACTCCATAGTTTCAGGCACAAGCTGCCCCAACACGAATCCTTGAGCAAAGGCACACCAAGTTTGCTTTTGAAATCAAAATAAGTAAATCCGAAAGCATGCAAATGTCGCGTCTACGACGGCGCATGTCTAAACGCAATATCAGGGAACGTTCAGAGTCTCACCCGACATGAATTCCTTGTACACTAATACTGCATCGAACTACAAGCATAGGAAATCAATATAGATCTCAGGCCTACACAATACAGAAAAGGCAGTGTGGGGTTTTGTCTGTAGACCAACATCGGCAGGCGGAGACGATCAAGAACAAAGGAAGCACTCCTGAAGGTGACAACCTGGTGCACCGCTAGCGCTCCTTGGCCTAAAGGCAACACAACTTTTTTTCCTGCCCTCATGAAACGGCACTTAATGACCACTTTACTCTGACCCTCCCATTAGGAAGCTTTTGCTGCTTCAAGTAGGGCCCACCAAAACCAACTCTCGGACTTGACGGCTGGGGCATGCATACAGTTCGCATATTTTCATAGAATGCACGTACCACAGGTTGCAGCAAATTACACCTCCATTAAATTGCCAAGCAGCAACCTACTTCCTGAGTTCAGAAATAAACTCGGATACCTTTGCCGCCACTGCTGCAATACCGTGAGCCAAATCATACGCTTAGCGGAGAGACTAGAGGCTCTACCACTGGCAGCTCCCACATCCTTGTCTTGCCTCACGCAGGAGACGCTTACAGTATGCCGGTGCCCCACTGGATTATTTTTTTACACACAAAACCCAACAAATGCAGAATGTGGCCAGGACAGGGCAAACTCCACGATCCAATGCGCAACACACTGTATGCCAAGCCTCTTCGCAAAGCCAGCTTTTAATGCTGTTCACACAAAAATGGAAGCAGTCGCAACAGATTAAACCGATGCAAGGCCGTACCACGCTCTACGTTAATACACGTGAAAGCGCATACAGCGATTCCCAATCCTGTCCTCAACTACCCCACGAAATCTGATTCGCCCATCCCAACGGCATCTAATCGCTCGCTACAAGACCTTTGCAGATGTGCCTATCATCATCAACAGGAAACGCATCACCATTGCTCTGTGGTATTTTCGTTAGTCCAGCACTATTTCGACGCGAAACGAAACGCTTGCTTGGTTTCCCTTAAAGCATCCATAGTCCACCCGTCACACAAACACAACTCCAAACGCCTTGCTGCTGCCAAACAGCCCTACAAATAACCAGCAAAAGCCACAGAAAAGCTCCGTTTATTGCCTCGTCGTAGCGGCATGCGTACACATTAAACTGAGGACGAGTGTCACTGCCTGCGAGCAAACCCACCGTCTAAAGCACAAGTGACGGAATGCCGAGCCATAAGAATGCAAGCTTCCCCCCACAAGCCTCAATCAATTGTGGTCGCATGTATGGCCTGGATGAAAAGCAAATGCAACTTCTCGGCTAGACAGCTTGGTGCTCTAAAATTACCTTTCAGCGGGCTAGCGGCCAACAACCTTAAGGTCCCTACTTGTGGTCTATCGCTGTATTGCCCAACAAACGCTGCCAACACGCTCCTACACAAAATGCACTGAGACACGCCCTTTGACCTACTATGCAGTTGATTTTTCTCAAAACCAAGAAGAGCCTTCTTGCTGAATCTATAGAGACCACGTAGAATGATCACTCAAGCGGTAGAAAAACCCACATGAGAAACACCACACTGATAAGACGGAACACGAGGCAGTAGATTCCTGTCAATGGAAAGGCATTTCGCCCTTCTTCTGACTACAGCCCTTAACGTGATATGAACATCCAAGGCGAGCCAATAGGCGCGGCAGGCCAACAAAACAAAATACTACTGTACACACTATCCCATTCCGCCCCATTGGTATTATATTTGCACGAGTTGAAGAACGTTGTTTGTTGGTCTCGCAGCAAAGCAATCAAGCGCCCCCATATGCATGAACACTAGCTCAAACCATTGGCGGCTGGTTCTATGCGACGCGTCTTCACACACAGACAACTGCGACCATCCGACAAGGCTGCAGTAGGCTAATATACCCAACACACTTCAGCCCTTCTCACAATTGTGAGCACGTAGGCCATCGCCCTTGCCTAGCCTAGCCAGAAGAGGGTTCACTGAGCCAGCATTCGACCTGATGTACATCCAGTGCCGCCCTGGCTGTGACCATTTCCTCAGCCCATGACCACGAGGGCCAATGACTGAATGCGGCATAACTGGTTCAGCCAAATTTCCTTGCATTCCACTTTCCAATTCCCTTCAGTTCGCAACTTGTGCACTACTGTGCACCCTACGGAATTTATGTAGAATGACCACTTCGCTCCTCTGGCTGAGCTTACAAACATCAATATAGCAAGATGCATCTAGTGAGCAATCTTTAATGTTCACATACACACACGCACACATACACACGCCTGGCTCTGGCTACCCGCAGAGCAATTTTAAAAAGATATATAGCGTCGAAGGAAACTGCTGCAGAGACTGTCTGTGCTTGCCAAAACAGTCTACGTCGAGAGTAAAAGTGACATTGCATAGCACAAGATATACATCGTGCGGGTTCAATGCGAGCCTACCATGCACATACACCATGTAAACTCCTATACAGCATCACCCATTACTGCCGCCCGACGCCCTGCGCAAATCTGCCACTCACGCGGAAATCCTATCATGCCGCAACATAAGAACGGTTCCCTTAACATGATCCCCACCTACCGCGTGATAGCCTGTAATAAGCTCTGTGTAGTGGTGGACCAGCTTGCCGATACAAAATCCAGCCACAGCACGAGCTTACCTCGGTTCTTACACTTTCGTCAGCAACGTTTGCCTCCACGAGGTGGCTTTCTTAACCACGCAATTGAAAGGCACCCCGAGTGTAATACTCAGCATGATCCTTACCGTCCGTGCGCACCAAGCAACAGTGAAGACGACTATAGTGCAGCCCAGAACTAAGTGATGGCTCAAACCTTAGGCGCATCGGCCGCGGCGGAATCATTAGCTACACCCGATATAGAGACTCTCGAGACAAAGTGCGTACTAGCTGAGTCATGTAACGCGCAAACTTTTCACATCACCCGACTCAACCCAGCACGGGATGTCTGATAAAAGCAGCTCCTTGTTAAAGCTTCATACTCTGTAACAACTGCCAGATCTTCCAAATCGCAAAACTCAGGGCAATGCTTTACATCTGCTAACCAATCATTTCCCTTGGCCCCGTGCTAACAGATCTGATGCGAGGGCCGGTATATCTATTCTTACCATGAGTACAATCTCATCCATGCTTATCTGCTTCCACAGAACCTGGCCCCCTGTGAACTGGTGTACTCCTCCCGATCAGGGCATTCCACTGCGCACTCTAAATGTACTAACAGCAACATTGCCGTACAGCGACCAGCGAAAATGCATTTGATTAGCGCACTCTTGCATCAATAATCCAGAATACTAAATTGAAACAGCAGTGAAGCCATAGAACACCGACTGCACACTAACTGTTCCTGTCCACACACCCACACACCCACACACCCACCCACACACGCACCCACACACCCACACACCCACACACACACCCACACACACTCACACACACAGACACACACACACACACACCCTCATACACATACACATACATGCACACCCTCACACACATACACACACAAAAGCCCGAT